GGCAGATTAGTCAGCGCTGTACGACAGTGAGGTGGAATCGAGTCCCTTGGTATATCTACGGGGACGGCGCGGGGTGAGTTAGTGAATGTAAAAGCTACCACTGCTGGCATTTCGGATTGGGGACCGTCCATAACTGTTGGGGCTTGCTTAAGGTTGAATTGCTCTTTCTTCATTAAAGATTGTATGTAATCCGTAGGTAAGTGTCTTAAGTGTGTTCTAGGGTAGTTAAGTCTGTTAGCTGGCCTACACGACGAGCCAGAGTAAGTAAATAACAAAGTAGGTCTGTGACAAGTAGTAGTAGAATAGTAGTAGTATATTAGTAGTAGCAGTAGTAGTATAGTAGTAGTAGTAGTAGTGGTAGTAGTAGTAGTATTAGTAGTATTGTAGTAGTAGTAGTAGTAATAGTAGTAGTAGTAGTAGTAGTAGTAGTAGTAGTAGTAGTAGTAGTAGTAGTAGTAGTAGTAGTAGTAGTAGTAGTAGTAGTAGTAGTAGTAGTATAGTAGTAGTATTAGTAGTAATAGAAGATACAAAGCGACGAGGAAGCTGATGGCAGTGCCATTCTTCTCTCAGTGCATTTATGGGTGCCACGTTCTGCAAAAGTCTAAATTCATGATTATGTCTTCTGAAACAAAAGTATGGTTTGTTTTTAAAGGTGTCAAGAAAAATGGCGCCGTCTGCACATTGAGAGTCGGCTGTAAAATATTCACTGTGAATTATAGGGATATTGCTGAGACTGCAATCTCTCACAGGTTGCCACTCTCGGGCCACTATTTGAAAACTACGAGAAGGGTCATTTTATAAACGGCCCACCGATGGAATCTAACCCTGGTAAATGTCGAGGATTATATTGTGAAACGATCTCACCAACCTCTAAGAAACAGAGTCATCATTCTATAAATGACAGCCATTTGTTGGCTTGTGTCGAAAAGAATAAGTTAACATATTTTACATTTTGTGACCCACAGGTTCCGTTATTTTCACGCTCTATGGCACGGACACAGATGCACATGAAAATCTCACATTCAGGTAATACACGTAATGTTTTAAAGACACGTTTTAGCCAGTTATGTTAAGAATATGTTTAGTAATTGTCAGGTTCTGTATATTTTTGTTGTATGTGTAGTTTGTATGTCTAAGGGTTGAAGCCAGTGTATCAGCAATATCAGAACGATTAGTATGTCATCTTTAGGCAAAGGATCAAAACAACAATATAGGTGCCCAAACATGGGCGCTTACACCCTTGTTGACTCCCCGCCCCGCAGACAGGTTTGTAAGGAGACTCAGTCTATCCTCTCTACTACTTATTCATGTACAGAGGTTATCTTTTTATATATTTCTTCATACATTTCATATTATTTCAAATATATTTCACTGTTTGTTAACTATTCAGCCAATAGTAATAATAATAATAATAATAATAATAATAATAATAATAATAATAATAATAATAATAATAATAATAATAATTGGCCCCACATCTTCGTCATCCAAAGATCTCGTTACCAGCCAAACAACGGATGATCAACAGCATTTTCATCCCTACGTTATTTTTCTTCTTCTTCTTCTTTCGTTCGCATGAAATAAATTGTCTATATCTGCAAAGCTGTCTCTAGTATGAATTTCACTGTCTTTTGTAATTCACTAAGCGGCCCGTAAAGTTTGACTTCCACAAGTGTCTCTTTTGGCCAAAGGTTTTGCCTGAAAGCGTTGAATCTGGGACAGTCTTGAAGGATGTGATCTGTTGTTTCAGGTGCCAGTCCACAAGTACACATGGCTGATTGGCCAATCTTAAATTTGTTGTACATGTGGGAGCGAAGTCGATTGTGCCCTGTTCTAAGGCGAAGGATAATGACTTGCTCTGGTCTGTCCATAATATGGTAATCATCTTGTGCCAGTTTCGGTGGCATTCTGATTGATTTGATCATTCTCTTCTTCTGTTGATAAGAGACTGGTATGTTAGGTTGTTCTTCAGTTGCACCTTCCTTAGCTAGTTTATCAGCTTTTTCGTTTCCGGGAACTCCACAGTGGGAAGGTATCCACTGCATTACTAATTTACAGCGGTTGCCTAGTTCGGATAATAGTGTCCGTATGCTTGGTAATTTTCCAGACTGGAGTGACTGAAGTACTGCTTTTGCATCTGTCAGGAATACCACTGGTTGTGAAAAATACCCTGTATTTAGTAGTTTCTCTGCCGCTATCTTGATGGCTTGAACTTCTGCATCATAGTTGTGACAGTGCTTTCCCGTTGGTAATTTGGCTGTATCCCTGGTATTATTAGGATACTCAATGTACACTCCCGCACCTCCGTTTCTGACTGCGCTTTCTGCTGACCCATCTGTGTAAACACGGACCCAAAGGTTCTGCGGGTATTTATCATCAAGTAGACTGAGGGTGGCTGTTTTGCGCTGCACACTGTTTTGTTCTTCCTTGTCAAATACCCCTTTCACTTCAGTCTTGATGTGTATTGGAAACTTATACTCCTCTCTCCAGGGGGTCTGTTCTGGGACAGCATTTAAGGATCTATCAGTTGCAGGTAAATCAGTGGTTTGTCTGCCGAGCCGTTTCGCCTGGTGGATAAAACTACTTCTCTTTAGTCGTCCCAAAGCTAAATTTTGGAATCTTTCATTCATAGGGTGACTGGGCATACTAAGAAACTTTTCTGCTTGTAAAAGCATCTTGGTGTCTCTGCGTTCACTCAGTGCTTGGGTCATCCCCATTTTCTCCATCACAGCTATAGGTGTTGATTTCATACTGCCTGTGGTAACTCTGAGTGCTTGATTTTGCACTTTGTCTAATTCATCCCTACGTTATGTTATCAGTGCCAAACGTGGACAATGAACAAATCACATATGCAAAAAATAACTACGTTTGAAATGCGATGTCTCCGAAGAGTCACCAACAATACACGAAGAGACAGAGTCACAAACGTCAGCATTAGAGACAAAGTTGGAACAAGAGCATGCATGGAACATATTGAAAGACAGAGAATGAAATGGTTTGGCCATTTAGTAAGAATGCAACCGGATCAGATTGCCTATAAGGCCTTTTACAATAAAACATCGGGAAGAAAGGCCAGAGGAAGACCCAGGAAAAAATGGATAGATGGAGTAGCTGAATACGGCCAGAAGATCCAGAAAACTGTCAATCAAATCACGCGAGAGGCTCAAAACAAATATTTTAAACCACGACACTGGGCTACAACCCGGTAAAAGTGAAGAAGACAATAGATAGATAGATAGAATAATTATAATAATAATAATAAAAAGGAGCTTTTAACTGAAACGCTACAGAAACATTCTTAAATACCATAGAAAAAAAAAGTCAAGGTTCCTTTTCCACGCCTTTAGGCGTACAGGGCATATAGGGCTAGACCTATATTTTTACAGACCAATCGGCACAAGATGGGTGATGTCGTCAGCATCATGTCGGCCGCCTTTACTCATCGGGACTGCACCCGGTACCCACTCAAGACTGGGCCGACCTGGGAGTCAAGATCATAAAAAAAAAAAAAAAAGTCCGGCTCAGAATAACATGGACCAAGAAGAAACAATCCTGCATACTCTGGGCATCGAGGAGAATTGGCTCATTAATAGCATCCTGTCCCGAAAGCTGAGGCATTATGGCCATGGTGGCCTAGGAAGAACGGTGATGGAGGTTTCAGTTTCCGGAAAACGAGGCTGAGGTAGATCTAAAAAAGGTCTATACACGATATTAAAAATGCATTGGACGTGAAAGCACATAGTGCTGGAGAACTGGCTATGAAAGAGACCCACAAACGTACCGTGAAGAGAGCGACGTTCTGTAAAGGACGTGCTCATTGACGATGATGATTATTATTAGGCTTAGCACCCTTGTACCATCACCTTTTCTCCAATGTTTTCTTTGTGTCCTACCACTGGCTGTAGACGTGACAACTAAACTGGCTTATAGAAAAAGCGACGGAGGAGCATAATAAGGGTATATCTTTGACAACCTGATGCCATGATAACAAGGGACCCACACACTATTAACTGCATTATACTAGAAACTGCTAAACATAGAGAATGTATGATCGGGGAGAGGATGTGTCTCCGTGAAGTGGGCAAGCCGTTTGCCTTGTGCTTAAGGTCAGGAGTTCGTTTCACGATATGCGATGTTCAGTTCAAGAGTGCAATTTTTACAGAAGACCCTGCGGATCGTCACCAGAGCTAGGGAGTTTATGCTTTGTACGATGCAGTCGGGAGTATGATGGCTTATGACAGTCAGAAAGGATTCTTACGAAGACGACGACGACGACGACGACGAAGAAGACGACGATGATGATGATAATTTCGCTGTCAAGACATTCAAATTAAATATAATAAATGCAATAATCATCTGTATAAGCATAGTGAAGTTAACTCTTGACAGAGTTGCCAACATAAAAAAAAAAACATTAAGGTAGCACGAGGGAAGGAGACAACTGGTTGGGTGGGGGGGGGGGGGGGAGGGGTGGTGGAAAAATGGGGGGGGGGGGGGGGAAAGAGAAATGGGGGGGGGGGAATGGGGTGGGGGGGGGGCAGGCAAGGAGCTTCTGTATCATTCCAAGTTTTTGTTTTTACAAATGCGTTATACTACTACTACTGCTGCTGCTGCTGGTGCTGCTGCTGCTGCTGCTGCTGCTGCTGCTGCTACTCCTACTACTACTACTACTACTACTACTACTACTACTACTACTACTACTACTACTACTACTACTACTGCCACTACCACTTCTACTACTATTACTACTGCTGCTGCTACTACTACTACTACCACCACCACCACCACCACTATTTCTACTATTACTACTACTGCTGCAACTGCTACTACTAATAATTGTACAATGACTGCTGCTACTACGGCTACGGCGGGGGTTGAGAGGCTATGCTCCCATGGAGGTATTAGACTGGAGATGTTGAAAAATAAGAAAAAATTTCACATAATCAAATCGTTGAGGTACACTTTCTTTCACTCTGTCACTCTATTTTCTGATGTTTCAGTGCATCTACGAGTGATACAAAGTCACTGGTTACAGTGGGAGCGACAGTCTTCGATTCAACCACAAAGCGATGGGCGTGCGATTTAAGACTGATATCTCCCCTAGACAGAGATACTGTAAGTAGTACTTTACTTTACTTAGTCGCTCCTCTTCTATCTTGGTGTGTAGAGGTTAGCCAGAGAGATCGCCAGACATCTCTATCAGCAGTTTTCTTTCTGGCTTTGTTCCATTCAAGTACTCTGTCAGTTAGGGACTGTTGGATGTTGTCTTCCCAGCACAGAGTCGCCCTGGAGGTCAAAAATCTCTCCACACTCACACATTTATGTTGTTCATTTAAATCATCCATGGTCGAATTGGTATGTGTGCTTATGCGGATGTGTGTATGAGCCTACGCGCGCTCTCCTTGGCGTTTTAGTATATGTGTGCGGGCACATGTGTGGGTTTGTGTGTGCGTGTATGTCGGTGTGTGTGTGTCTGTGTGTGTGTGTGTGTGTGTGTGTGTGTGTGTGAGTGTGTGAGTGTGTGTATGAGTGCGTGGGTGTGCGCGCGTGTGGGTTTTATGTGAGTGTATGTGTGTGTGTGCATGAGTGTGCGCGCGTGTGTGTGCGCGCGTGAATGTGGGTGTGTATAAGGGTGTGTATATGGGTGTGTGTGCGTGTGTGTGCATGTGTGTGAGTTCGTGGGTGTATGCGCGCGTTTGTGTGGGTGTGCTTGTGTGCATGTCAGTAACGGCGTGACAAACAATTCGAACTGAACGTATGTTTCATACGCATTGCGTGCATTATCAAATTGACTGACGTGACGAAAGAAAGCTAGCATACTGTTTGTTCTTCTTCTTCTTCTTCTTCTTCTTCTTCTTCTTCTTCTTCTTCTTCTTCTTCTTCTTCTTCTTCTTCTTCTTCTTCTTCTTTTTCTTTTTCTTCTTCTTCTTCTTCTTCTTCTTCTTCTTCTTCTTCTTCTTCTTCTTCTTCTTCTTCTTCTTCTTCTTCTTCTTCTTCTTCTTCTTCTTCTTCTTCTTCTTCTTCTTCTTCTTCTTCTTCTTCTTCTTCTTCTTCTTTTTCTTCTTCTTCTTTTTCTTCTTCTTCTTCTTGATTGTCTATCCTTATTATTATTGACCAGTCCCTTGGTCTGAAAATAATTTTGAACTATTTTTCTTTCAGTGCTGTTGTGCAGTAAAGCTGGGCTGACCCCAGTGTTATAGAGGTTCCAAAATGTAATCATGTTTCTTTTTGGAATTCAACCTGGGATTCTTTTGACAAGAGTGTGCATAAACCCTCAGAATTGCTAGTTTTATCAAGAAAACGACCAGTCAGTAAAAAATGTCTTTTATTTGGCAGAGTTTATTTAATTATTTTTTACACGTGTCTAATTTCAGAGCCCTCCTGTGAGAAAATTATACTTTGACTTAAAGGATACATTTCCATTCACAGTAAGTTGTTTGCATTGTTGAATGACTTGAGCATAAAGTTAGATTAGAAATCTTGTTAAGTTAGTTGCTTATCCTTTACAGGAAGTTGCAGAACGAACCCTAGTGTTTTTTTGCTGCTGTGGGTTTTCTATATAAATTTTACGTTCAGTAGTTTGTCGTTGAATTCTTTTTGGTCAATTCTCGGTACCACTATAGAAACCAACGCAAGACAAATCGTCCCCAGCTGGGATCAAACCCGGCACCCCGATATTACGAAGCACGTTCGCATTGTAATGTAATACATACATAATTATATAGGCAGCGGGATAGGGGTACCCTTTATCAAAGGAGAAATAAGGCATCTCTGTCCCTCTGCTAGCCTACAGGCCACCCTCGGTAAATGTCGAGTACCTGTTTAGCCCACTACCCCTCTCCCCCCTCCTTTTCCAGTCAGGGTCATCTGAAATTATAGGAGCAGGTGGTTGAGAGCAGTCGGCAGATGGATGTTAGTCATGTTCTCAGGTTCCCTGACGGAAGGCAGAGGATCAAACCACACTGGCTATTGTCACGATAACTCTACCAATATGGTCACTGTCAAGACTGAAATCAATGGCAAACTACCTTTTTCAAGATGCCAAGAACAGTCATGAGCGAGCAAGAGGACGTAAAGTAAGTAAAAGACCATTTTCCACGCCTTTAGGCGCATGGGGCATATGGGGCTATTTTATAGACCAATCAGCACAAGATGGGTGATGTGGTCAGCATCACGCCGGCCGCCTTTACTTCCCAGGAATGCACTCGGTACCCAATCAAGGCTCGGTTGACCTGGCAGCCGAGGTAATTGTTTTTAGCAAGAGGAAGGCAAACAAATAAATACCAGAATGGCCTGGCCAGATGGATGGATAGTGCGAAACAAACAACATTGAACTGATTTGTGAATCTGGTGATCATGTGAGACGGCTTACGCTTCCAGCACGGTACATGATGATGATGACAATATTATGTAGATGCTTATGTGGGTTTGTGAGCGAGAATGTCTCAATCTGCGGCAGTCATGGTCGAAACATTTTCACTGAGGCATGTTTTCCACACGCGCGCGCGCACACACACACACACATACATACATGCACACACGCGCATTCACGTACACACACGCATATATTGAGAGAGAAAGAGAGCGAAAGAGAGAGAGAAAAAGAGAGAGAAAGAGAGAGAGAGAAAGAGAGAGAGAGAAAGAGAGCGAGAGTGAGAAAGAGAGAGAAAGAGAGAGAAAGAGAGAGAGAGAAAGAAAGACAGAGAGAAAGAGAGAAAGAGAGAGATAGAGAGGGAGGGAGAAAAAGAGAGAGAGAGAGAAAGAGAGAAAGAGAGAAAGAGAGAGAGAGAAAGAGAGAGAGAGAGGGAGAGAGAAAGAGAGAGAGAAAGAGTGAGAGAGAGAGAGAGAGAGAGAGAGATTGAGAGAGAGAGAGAGAGAGAGAGAGAGAGAGAGAGAGAGAGAAAGAGAGATTTGCTTGTCGGGTGTAGTGAATGAACTCTTCTCCCTCCCTTCTTTTCCCAATTTGTCAAAGACATGAAAGTCAGACATCATCAAGTGTCTGAGCATAATCTAGCAGAATGCACAACCAAGACCCAGGACAGACTAATGTGGACCAAGTGCCGCCTACCTTCGCCGTTGAGGCGACACTTTCCGAGGCGAAGTGCTCAAGCCGTTTGTCTCGCTCTCTGAAGGTCGTGGGCTCCTTTCACGGCTGGGCCATTTAGTACAGGAGTGCAATTTACAAAGACCCATGGGGATCGTCGCCGAAGCTGCGTAGTTAGTGCTTTGTGCGACGCTATCAGCAAATGGAGGGATAGCAGTTTTGTGGAGAGAGACTGAGCCATGTGGGCTAAAACCATGTGCACTGAAGTAGCTCCTCTCCATTCTACGACTTTTTATGACAATCGCAGTGGTGTAACGGCGGCTACACGCACGCCTGTGGATAGAAAGAACGTGGGTTCGAGTCCTGTCAGAGCCGAACTTTTTTCAAAAATGATCTTGGCTTCCAGATCGACCCAGCCTTAAATGGGTACTAGATAAGTCCTAGGAAGTAAAAGCGGCCGGTGTGATGTTGATCATATCACCCAGAGAGCCCCAGTGGTCTAAAAAAAATATAGGTCTAGCCCTATGTGCGCAGTAGGCATAAATGCGGGGGAAAAGGTCCCCTTTACTTACTCTAATGGCGGTGAAGATAAGAGTTTCAAAAGCCTGCCAGGGAAGCGGTCAAGGGGAAAATATACAAATTAAACGGATAGTTGTAGAAATCCACGTGATCATTTCCAAATATATATTTCTATGAATCTGAATGACTATTTTGTAAAAGATATTTCCATGTCCACCGACAGTTTCTGTGTCTCCGCAATCTTTCTCAGTGACTCCAAGATCTATGCCGACAGTAGCGTAGTTACCAGCTGGTCCTTCCCAGCCAGACAAGACAAAGAGAGACACCATGATCCTCCAGGTTGAGGGTTAAAACGTGGAGCCGTTGTAAAACCTAATTTCATTACGAAACAGATCTGTACGCCTCGAACTGAGAGTCAGCAATAAACCACAAGGGATCGGAATGCTGTAGAAGAAGAAGAAGAAGAAGAAGAAGAAGAAGAAGAAGAAGAAGAAGAAGAAGAAGAAGAAGCAGCAGCAGCAGCAGCAGCAGCAGCAGCAGCAGCAGCAGCAGCAGCAATTTTTATGAATCCAAATGATTATCTTTAAAATATGAGTTCTATGAATCCAAATGATTATTGTCAAACATTTACTGAAATTGTCAATTTTCAGATATCAGTTACCCTTACTTTGATCATCAATGACATAAACGATAACCCACCTACATTCGTGGATCTTCCTTACAGATTCTCCCTACCAGAGGTTAGTATTGCCATTGCTTTCATTATACTATTCATTTACCTATCCTCTTTGTCTCTTTGTCACCAGTACGCCCTGTTTGTTTCACCATTACACAGCTAGTATTTTTTGTCTGGTTATAATTTCCTCACTTATTTAAATTTTTTTTTTAATTTTGTATTTTTGTGTTCACCTATTCCATCATGGAATCTTGGTAAAGTATTTCATCGCTTACTTATGTTTTTCTTTTCTAGTTCACTTGCTTCATTGTCTCATTCATGTATTGTTAGCCTTTTCCACTGTTTCACCATATTTCTTGCTGACATATTCAATTGTCTTATCCTATTTCTCTTTCTCCTTTTCTACTGCCGTTCATCTGGATACCAAGCATCAGGACGTCAGACTTACTGATACTCATGTGGATATACTATCCAGGAAATTAGGGAGTGCAAGGGAATGAAAGAGCGGATTTTATTTTTTGGATACCAAAGCATTAGCTACAGGAACATTAGTACATGACAAAGGAGACAGACTGAAGATCACTCAAGAACAAGAGCTGATAGGAGACACAAGATTAGGGGCAATAGCAGGCAGAACAGTCAAAGAAGCCACTAGCGCCTTCTCCATGACAACCAGCAGCATGACGATGGAGGTGATGGCAGTAACGTAAGCTTTCGCCTGGCTCGAAACACAAAACTACACTCAGGGATTCAATGAATATGATCCAGAGGGTTCAGGCAGGTTCAGTGCGAAGACAATGGCTTGAATCATTATAGAAGTGAACTAAGCGTGGAGTCACCTTTATTTTTTTTCTTCTGGGAATCGCAGGCGTCGATGGAAATGAAAGAACTGATAGGTTGACTGGATCCGCTATCAAGGCAATGAAATAGCGGACAGATTGGCCAGAAGCGGCAGTGACATGGTACAACCAAATAGTGACTTAACCGACCAAGAGACGAAAACATTAATACAATCTAGTATCCAAGAAAGGTGGCTGGATACCCACACCAGATTTTCTCCCCAAGACTCACTTCATCGCCTCTCTAGAGAGAGGACAGTGTATTATATTCAAACTAAGGACTGGGCAGAACAGATGATTTCGTCAACATATGTTCAAATTTTTCGGTGTAGGAAATAGGAGATGTGTCCCTTGCAGCGTGGCACCCGAAAATACTCATGTGCTCCACTGTATGCTGACAACAGAGACGCAATCTGGCCTGTTCCAACCACAATAAAGACAAAACTGTGTGGCACACGAGAGGATATGGATTGCACGATAGCTTTCATAAAGGCTACCGGCCTCCTGATATAACTTTTCTGACTGAAAGATTGAAGAAGAAGAAGAAGAAGAGGAAAACTACCGACCGTCAGCCGATGGATCATGCTGATATTATTAATGCCTTCAGAGAAATGTAAAGGATAGAGGACTTTGGGGGCAGTGAATCCACATCACTCGCCAGAATGGCAGACTTATGAATAAGGATCGGCATAAAAAAAAAAAAAAAACGAGACGCACGCTATACACACAAGAAGACTTGTTAATCAACACAGAACTGGTACTATTAGCCATCGGACGTTGGGGTTTATACTGAGGGGAGAATCTGAGCACCCGTGGATATGTCCGAAGTGCAATGATGATAACCCAACTAACTAACTAAACTAACTAACTAACTAACTAATTAACTAACTAACTAACTAACTAACTAACTAACTAACTAACTAACTAACTAACTAACTAACTAACTAACTAACTAACTAACTAACTAACTAACTAACTAACTAACTAACTAACTAACTAACTAACTAACTAACTAACTAACTAACTAATTAACTAACTAACTAACTAACTAACTAACTAACTAACTAACTAACTAACTAACTAACTAACTAACTAACTAACTAACTAGCTAACCAACTAACTAACTGTGACACAGTCGTCTCTGAAAATTGTCTATGCTTCACTAAAATAACCCAGGTTCGGTATTGTTTGTGTCAAGGGTGGCGGGTGATTGTTGATAGACGAGGAGAAAGATGGTCGTGTCGTAAGTGGTGAAGATGATGATGCACAATTAGTACTCGTTGCTTGCTTCTCACGAGAGTATGTTTATACAACAAAGTGTCTGGAAACAACTGTTCAGGATCACACTGTATTTATTATGATACTCTAACAAGTGTCACAAAACAAAACAAATCATATTGTTTTCTCTTAACTCTATATACTTGTAGGTTCGCGTTGTGTACTTTATTTGTAGTTACTTTGTAAACTAGTGCTATTGTCTCTAACTGCCACCGGGCTACTAGTGCAGGTTGGGCTAAAAGGTTTATTATCTAATGCCGTATATCTACTTATCTATGCTCTCTTCCCAGCTCAATTGGCCGGTGCTTGTCTCTTGTTCTCCTCACTCCGTCTCTAGCCTTTCCTTCGTCTGTTCTTTCTGCTGTCCTCTTTCTTCTGCCTCTGTCTAACTCCGTCTTCTCCTCTTGCCTGTCTCCGTCTATGTCTTGTGTCTTGTCCCTCCTCTATCTGTGTCTATCCTCTGTCTGTCCCTGACTATCCTCTGGCCTGTCTGTTTATCCTCTGGCCTGCCTCCGTCTGTGTCTGTGTCCTCTGTGTGTGTGTCCTCTGTGTGTGTGTGTGCCTTCTGTCTCTCCTCGACTATCCTCTGGCCTGTCCGTCTCGTGTGTCTGTGTGTCCTGGCTGTGTGTCAAAGGTTCCGGGCAATCGTTTATAAAGGGGTTACTAGCCTGCTCCCAGAGGCTCCTATCCCTCGCTGTTTTGCAGACTTTTGCAGCGACCTGAGCTGGCCGGGTCCGTGGAATTTTACCTAATTAAGTAAACTAATTGTTTTGTGCAGGACGGGAAGAGTCACATGATGTCTGATCAGACGACTTAAAGTACGTGGGAAACAAGAGTAGGGACCACAGGGGATATAGTTGCTTACTAAGTTACTAATTACAAGTTCTACAATAAGGGTGAAGGCCACAACTAACTAACCAACTAACTAACCAACCAACCAACTAACCAACTAACTAACTAACTAACCAACTAACCAACTAACCAACTAACTAACTAACCAACTAACTAACCAACTAACTAACTAACTAACTAACTAACTAACTAACTAACTAACTAACTAACTAACTAACTAACTAACTAACTAACTAACTAACTAACTAACTAACTAACTAACTAACTAACTAACTACTCGGTGTGAGAATGTGTGAACATGAAACTCTGAGTGGATCCGACAAGGAGGGGTGTATACTCAGTGTACCGCGGGAACAGTTAGCATCTACACCTTCAGGCATTTGCTGCGGGAGACGGAGCACCTATGGGTATGCCCGGTGTGCTATGACGTCGATTCCTAAAGCAGAAAATCAGTTTCCCTTAAAACTGACATTGGCTCCCAGATCGACCCAGCCTAAAATGTGTACCATGAGATGTCCTGAAAAGTAAAGGAGGCTGGCATGTGATGTCTATTCCTCAATCAAAAGTCAGTTAGGAGTGTTTTGTCTTGTTTTAATTCCCTTGTTCACTAATTCCATTGTTCAGTCTTCTTCACTTATTCCATTGTCTAGTTACTAGAAATCAAATCTAAAGTAAATAACGTAACAGTATTTTGCATTTTATTGAATGTAAGTTGAAATTGTTGATTCCGGTACAATATGGCGGATAGGAAATCTTACTGTATTTAGTCGTGTCATGTTTTTGCTTCTGATACGGGTTAGCTATTGCAGTTGTTTCTTATATGTGGACTGAAGTATATAGTAAGGTAGTCCAGCTACTGATCTGAGTGCATGGCGCGACACTGTGAGCTGCGGATTAAATTTGGAATGCTTTTCGACTATGCCCATGAGGTTAGCGTTGTGAATTGCAAATTCAGAAAATGGCGAGTGGCCTGTTGCCACAGAAATTGTGGTCCCTTTTGCGACGTTGCGTATGGAACTACTGACTGCATTTGTAGTGCCGGGCTGTTTGTACTAGCAGTTCTGAAGGCTGTCTTATGTACTGATTGCCTGTGTAAGCAAATCGCTTTGCGGAGGACGCAGTACTTCATTTTTTTTCACAAGCAGCAGTGATGGGTGTTCTGTCTGGTTTTCGTAAGCACAATAACAGAGCAACAGTGAGGTTACCCCTGTTGCTGTGAGGTTCGATCTGTGATAACCTGGTTACCTTGAGGCATCTTTGGGGAAGAAGATCAAGACAGAATGGGTTCGAAGTCAATGGTTGTAGTCACTGAGGAAATCTCATCTGACAGGAATCAGTTTCATCTTTGCACCAGAACACTCTGAGGTAAGAGGGAAAGGATGAGCGGACTGGCTTTCTGACAGGGCAAGCAATGGAACGGGACAATGTTCTCAGTTATCTCAAGAAGGCAGGACGAGAAAGTGATTCAGGACATGACGATGGGTCGAAAACATTTCAGCAAGAGGTAATGCCAGACGTAAACACTATACAGATAATCAAAGAAGAACAGTAAACCAACACAGAACTGGTATTATCAGTCACTACAATCTGGGCGATGTACTGAAGATGGGATCTGAGCGTTTATGGACTTGTCCGATAAGCAATGAGGATGATCTGTCGATTAACTAACTAACTAACTAACTAACTAACTAACTAACTAACTAACTAACTAACTAACTAACTAACTAAATAACTAACTAACTAACTAACTAACTAACTAACTAACTAACTAACTAACTAACTAACTAACTAACTAACTAACTAACTAACTAACTAACTAACTAACTAACTAACTAACTAACTAACTAGCTAACTAGCTAACTAACTAACTAACTAACTAGCTAACTAACTAACTAACTAACTAACTAACTAACTAACTAACTAACTAGCCAACCAACCAACCAACCAACCAACCAACCAACCAACCAACCAACCAACCAACCAACCAACTAACTAACTAACTAACTAACTAACTAACTAACTAACTAACTAACTAACTAACTAACTAACTAACTAACTAACTAACTAACTAACTAACTAAACTAACTAACTAACTAACTAACTAACTAACTAACTAACTAACTAACTAACTAACTAACTAACTAACTAACTAACTAACTAACTAACTAACTAACTAACTAACTAACTAACTAACTAACTAACTAACTAACTAACTAACTAACTAACTAACTAACTAACAATATTAACTAACTAACTATTGCTATAATTGGTTTGTCTCGCAAACAGTCACTCCGTGCAACTGTGTTATTCATTAGTTGTGATTATCACGCGTGACGTCTTGTCTTCTTGTCCTTTTTTCCCCATCTTGTCATATTTTTTTTTTTTTAAATAGATTCACGATTTGATTGTTCTATTCCTTGTTCAGTTATTTCATACTGTTGTTGGGGGGGGGGGGTGGGGGGAGGGAGGGGGGGGGGGGGGGGGGGGGGGTGGGGGGAGGGGTGGGGGGTGGTGGGGGTTGGGGGGGGGGGGGGGGGGGGGGGGGCAAGTTTGGCTAACTTGTCTCATTAATTCCTCTTGTTATGTTTGGCTAACTTGTTTCATTAATTCCTCTTGTTATGTTTGGCTAACCTGTTTCATTAGTTCATCTTGTTATGTTTGGCTAACCTGATTAATTCATCTTGTTATGTTTGGCTAACCTGTTTCATTAGTTCATCTTGTTATGTTTGGCTAACCTGTTTCATTAGTTCATCTTGTTATGTTTGGCTAACCTGTTTCATTAGTTCATCTTGTTATGTTTGGCTAACCTGATTAATTCATCTTGTTATGTTTGGCTAACCTGTTTCATTAGTTCATCTTGTTATGTTTGGCTAACCTGATTAATTCATCTTGTTATGTTTGGCTAACCTGTTTCATTAGTTCATCTTGTTATGTTTGGCTAACCTGTTTCATTAGTTCATCTTGTTATGTTTGGCTAACCTGTTTCATTAGTTCATCTTGTTATGTTTGGCTAACCTGTTTCATTAGTTCATCTTGTTATGTTTGGCTAACCTGATTAATTCATCTTGTTATGTTTGGCGAACTTGTCTCATTAATTCATCTTGTTATGTTTGGCTAACCTGTTTCATTAGTTCATCTTGTTATGTTTGGCTAACCTGATTAATTCATCTTGTTATGTTTGGCTAACCTGTCTCATTAGTTCATCTTGTTATGTTTGGCTAACCTGTTTCATTAGTTCATCTTGTTATGTTTGGCTAACCTGTTTCATTAGTTCATCTTGTTATGTTTGGCTAACCTGTTTCATTAGTTCATCTTGTTATGTTTGGCTAACCTGATTAATTCATCTTGTTATGTTTGGCTAACTTGTCTCATTAATTCATCTTGTTATGTTTGGCTAACTTGTCTCATTAATTCATCTTGTTATGTTTGGCTAACTTGTCTCATTAATTCATCTTGTTATGTTTGGCTAACTTGTCTCATTAATTCATCTTGTTATGTTTGGCTAACTTGTCACATTAATTCATCTTGTTATGTTTGGCGAACTTGTCTAATTAATTCATCTGTTATGTTTGGCTAACCTGTTTCATTAATTCCTCTTGTTATGTTTGGCGAACTTGTCTCATTAATTCATCTTGTTAAGTTTGGCTAACTTGTCTCATTAATTCATCTTGTTATGTTTGGCTAACTTGTCTCATTAATTCATCTTGTTATGTTTGGCTAACCTGTCTCATTAATTCCTCTTGTTATGTTTGGCTAACTTGTTTCAGTAATAGATCTTGTTATATTTAGCTAACCTTTTTCATTAATCCATCTTATTACGACCTCTGGACAATAGAACACAATTGTGGGAACGTCAGTATACAAAGTTACCGCTACTGACCCGGACTCCAACAGCGGACGCATTCCAAATTATTTTATAGAGGTAAGAACAACCATAACTTTTGTTGTTGTTGGCCGTCTCCACACTGGAGGTTTGCCACAGTGGGTCTGAGCTTCTTTTGTCGTCTTTAGGAGTTGTAGGCGGTCAAGGTCCTATCTCTGTCAGGTGTGTGGGGTCGGGGGAGGGGGTGGGGGGGGGGGGGGGGGAATGGGGGTGTCTTGTAATACTATCTGAAATCCATGAGATCGGCCTTTCTCTAAATAAAACTCTGGAACTTGATATTTTCATTGAATCCCTTATGTACTGTTTAGAGTCACGGTGGCCCAGCGGTTAGGCGCACATCTGCCGACATAAGGATTTTGGGTTTGAATCCGCAACGAGATTCAATTTTTTTTTTTCAAAATGGACCTTGCCACCCAGTTCGATCCAGCCTGAAATGGGTACCAAGTAATGCATGGGAAGTAAAGGCGACAGGCATGCTGTTTTTCACCCCCCCCCCCCCCCCCCCCCGCCAACTGTTGATCAGTTTATAAAAAATATGCCAGATAGGCCACTAGCGTTTACTTCAACTATACTTAATGTTTACCTAACGCACTGTTACAAGGTCTCCGATACTCAACGCTCGGAGAAAAGACAAGACGAACATATAAACATACTGCTATTGGTAATTTCAGAGAAGCTCTAAAACAGCACGACGTGTGTATACAGTATACGGCCAGAAGAGCAAGAAGCAAAGCCTTATACTGTATCTCTGTCGAGACCCGAAGTGGTAAAAGAGGTGGTGAAGAAGAGGAGAAGCGGAAGAAGTAAACGGCAATCATTCATTGCTGCAGTTTTATTCTTTAATTCTTTTGTTAGGCAGTTTTTTTCATCAAATAAAGCTAAGGCCAATTGAGCCCCCCCCCCCCTTTTTTTTTTCACCCCACCCTTTTCCGGCTTAAAGAATTTGTAAAAGGTTAACCACTCCAAAGCTTTTATTATATTTGATTTTTTTTTTTCCAGAAGTGGACGAACAGCAAAAACTTTCTGCCAGAGTTTATAGCATTATTTTACATGTAACTGTACACACACCTGCCGCTTCACACATGATAATACATACTTTTACATGTAACTGTACACACAACATTGCCTGCTGCTTCACAAATGATGATACATACTTTTACAAGTAATTGTACACACAACATAGCCTGCAGCTTCACAAATGATGATACATACTTTAACAAGCAACTGTACACACAACATAGCCTGCAGCTTCACAAATGATGATACATACTTTTACAAGTAATTGTACACACAACATAGCCTGCAGCTTCACAAATGATGATACATACTTTTACAAGTAATTGTACACACAACATAGCCTGCAGCTTCACAAATGATGATACATACTTTTACATGTAACTGTACACACAACATAGCCTGCAGCTTCACAAATGATGATACATACTTTTACAAGTAATTGTACACACAACATAGCCTGCAGCTTCACAAATGATGATACATACTTTTACAAGTAATTGTACACACAACATAGCCTGCAGCTTCACAAATGATGATACATACTTTTACAAGTAACTGTACACACAACATTGCCTGCTACTTCACAAATGAAGTTTTCAATGTCATTTCACATGTGGCTTCATACTGTTAGTCACGTTTTCAGAGGAACAGTATCGTTTTTTAAGACAGTCCGAGACCGATACCGATACTCACAATCTGGGACTTTATTAAAAAAACGAAACTATCCCGACGATGTTGTCACCCTATTCACACATTGTCGTTGTTGCTACTTTTTTTCCCCATACATTTGAGTTGAAACTTACGATTTTCAGGCAGTGAGTGGAAACTACAATCATACATTTGAAGTGAATAAACAAACAGGTCAGATTACGCTTAACAAGAGTTTGGACTACGAAAATCTCTCGTTTTATCACTACAATGTATCAGCAAAGGTAGGTAACCGTGTGACTCGTTTATCACTACAATGTATCAGCAAAGGTAGGTAACCGTGTGACTCGTTTATCACTACAATGTATCAGCAAAGGTAGGTAACTGTGTGACTCGTTTATCACTACAATGTATCAGCAAGGGTAGGTAACCGTGTGACTCGTTTATCACTACAATGTATCAGCAAGGGTAGGTAACCGTGTGACTTGTTTATCACTAGAATGTAACAGCAAGGGCATGTAACTACAGGACTCGCTTTATCACTACAATGGGACTTGAAATGAGCTCATTTTCTCTAGCTAAAGAACTACAGTGACCTGGGATCTTACTTATCCTAGCTGGTTAGTAACGACATACTAAGATGAAGACCAGTTTACACACACACACACACATATCATATTTACTGGTGATCCATCAATCTTGTCTACTTTGTTGACTTGTCTGTGAAGTACTTCTCTGCTGCTATCGCGTCCAAGTTACAGAGAGCTATCAGGTGATTAAGTCAGTTTACCTTCTTTGGAATTGTAATTGTCATTCACTCCTATCCAGTCATTGGTACACAGCAGGCATTCTCTCTGGGCTTCAATTATTAGTAAGCTTCTATCGACTGCTCGGCTATTCTTCTGCCCTATCCAGGTACTTGACTCCGCTGCCAGCTATTTAGGTTCACTCAAACATTGGTTCCGTCAGATCATCCGCATCCTCTGGCTGTTTCTCACAGAATAACGGTTGCTTCTCTCACACTTTCAGTTGTTCACATTGTCCAACGTGAGTCTTAACAATCATTCACTGACTCCCGTGGAACTCACAATCCCTGATTGGACACTCTTTTCTAACAAGTATTTCCTAACTGGCTTTCGAACTCGTGACCCGTCCCATTGGGGAAACCCGTTCTGACGTCATGTGATTTCCCACTCATTAAAGTACTTTTTGGGTTATTTTTACGATGGTCTTCCCATTTACACACCACCGGTTGTAGGTCAACTCTATTGATAAGTTGGTATGACTAGTCTACCGTGGTCAAGGTTATGGGTGTCGCAGTCTTTTTTGTCTGACATTTACGTTTTAGTTTCCGAAAAAAGAGACGGCCTGTGACATAGGTTTTGTCATTTTCTAGGGGGATTGTGTGTTAGACCCAGCATCTAAATGTTTTAGAAGTGTTAACAGCTCTGGTACAACACGCGGTATCATTGCGCGTGCGAAATATCCCCGTGACCTTGTATGAAAGTCGGATCGCTCGAGGCCGACCTATCAGATGAGGTGGTCGGTAGATCGTCCAATCAGAAGCGAGCTAGTATGTAGCAGTGTGTAAATGGGGAGACCAGCGTAAAATTTACCCTTTTTTAAAATTCGCACCAAACATAAGAAACCCCGGAAATCCGTGGAAGGGCAAATATTGTAAAGGTTGGAGTTAGGGTTAGGATCTGTGTCAGCCATGACCGCCTTAGAGACACCGACTGATCATAACCTCAAATCTAACAATAACCCTAACTCTAACCCTAACTCTAAACCCTAACCGTTACCCATAACACACCTAGCATATTGGACTCTCCCGGGAACTCCAAGATTTTCTTTGTTTAGGATGAATTAAAAACAAATTGCCCACTACAATATATCAGCTGAGGTATGTAGCTATGAGACTCTGTCACTACAATGTATCGGCCAGGTAATGTAGATAAATATTTTCTATCACTGCAAGAGACCGAGTTTCTTACAGGCAGACTGTGATGAGAGCGACGTTCTGAAAAGGACCTGCTACATGATGATGATGATAATACATCAGTTAAGATACAAGTATATAACTATAATCACTAGAATATAGTTAGTCGACAGATTATCCTCACTGTACATCGAACCATTCAGTACATATGTGCTTGGATCCCCGCCTTAGTAAATTCCGCAGCGTGAAGCGGCTGATAACACTAGTTCTGTGTTGGTTTCTTATTCTTCTCTGGCTTCCTGTATAGTACTCTTGTCTGGCCACACCCGTTTTAACATGTTGTTCTGCAGTCTGGTCATTATTGCAGATTCACAGTCATCACCTGGTTGTCGCAAAAGTCTTACTTCTCGTAGAGCATTCAGAATATCAACACAGTCCATGGTTAGAATATATCTGCAGGGATAGGCTATGCAACCAATAAACGAGAATCTATTACAACAATAAAACTGTCACACAAGACACTTTTTGTGAGTACAAAATCATAATTAACTTATATTCTTAGTCTGAGACGTCACCTTGTCCCCGCTTTTATTCTACGAGCCACTCCCTTAGTTGCCAAACCAACGAAAACAGCCCGCGCTTAAAAAAATGATTCCTCTCATATATGTGCTCTTATCCAGGATTTTCAGAATAAATTGTATATATTTATAGTCCGTTCCAAAAGTTGCACTCAACTCTACAAATCGGTAACCTAATAATCGTTTCCTTTTCATTTTTAAAATGTGGTCATGTAACCTGTTAATAATCATGTCCTTGTAGGAAAATAATTATTATGTGAAAAAATTTCTATTTTGTTTTAAATTTGCCGTATAACCATATATGTATGTATGTATGTATGCCGACAAAATTATGCAAAATACAAAACTACAACACACACACATATATATGTATGTATGTATATATATATATATATATATATATATATATATATATATATATATATATATATATATATATATGTATATATATATATATATTTATATATAATTGGGTGTGAGTGTGTGTATGTATCCGCAAATTATGCAAAATAAAAACAACAACAACAACAACACACACACACACACACACATATATATATATATTTATGTGTGTTGTAGTTTTGTATTTTGCATAATTTTGTCGGCATACATACATACATACACCAAATCTCATATATATATATATATATATATATATATATATATATATATATATATATATATATATATTCACATACACATACACACACTGTCCACACACACACAAAAGAAACGCATAGCTACTAAAAGAAACATACACACTCACGATTTCGATATTCTGCATCTTTATAATGCAGTAAGTGAAAATACTCAAATTTCAGACAAGAATACCTTAATGTTCCACAAATAAATTGAAACCTATTTTTGCATCTGGGTCATGATAAAGTGAGCGATTTGTGTAAATTAAAAATAATGTTTATTTTTTAAGAGTATCCTTATTATTTGCCCGACAAAGGTAAAAGAAATTTACTACCTTAAGAAAATAGTAACGCCTGTGCAATTGTAAATTAGAAAATCATAAGGACATGAGAGATCTAAGAGCACATGCAACAATTAGTGTTGGTCGATACATGAGGTTTCAAGATTGTGACTGAAGTTTTATGGCACTTTTTCTGGCACTGACTATAGTCTGCCTTTCCAAGTCGTTGTGACTTAACCAGATGTCTTCTGGGTAAATTTTTTTTTCTTGTGGTATGCACAAGGGGATGTGTAAACTGTATTTGTAGTTATTTTTTTTTTAAAGAAGCACTAATCTGGTAAAAACCTGGTTGGAGAAATTAGATGTGAACGGTCGGTGTTTCTCAGACGTGTCTTGGGAAGGAATAGACTCGAAAACTTCGTAACTACTAGCAAGATTGATAGACAAAGAGAGACAGGGGAAGGCACAAAGATACATCATTGAATGGACTAGCCATATGGATGGGGACAAGACAAGAATACTTATTTGATCAGCGATTCTAGTGATTGTGTGAAATGGTAAAACATCGCGCGGCACATGCTGATGATTACTAATATGTTAACAGCCATTTCATGTAAAACTTATAATCTACCACATTTTTTTAAAAACAGGATGAAGGTAACCCAACCTGTCCAGGTGTGAGCTGTGTTTGTGACAAAAACAGTAATTTCAACAACCCCACCTGTGACCCTGGACCAGTTGACCTTTTCATCACTATCATCGATGTCCAGGACACGCCCCCTGTGTTTTCCAAATTGCCATATATGGCGACAGTTGCAGAAAATGCCACTTTGGTACAGTCTGTATTTCGTCTTCTGTTTGTTAATATTGCAGTTTTATGAGTTGAGTTGATTCAAGAATTGATATCACAACACTCGAGGCACTGCCATAAGCGCCCCGTCCCATCTTCAGCAGCCAGTGAAGAGTTCCGATACTAATGGTGCCAGTAGCATTCTTATTTAAAGTCCGTCTTGTCTTTCCTCTCAGCCTCGATCATATGCCAGAACTCCTCGTCACTCCCCGCTGCATCAATCTCACCAGTCTGTGGGGATGCATCTGCTCCTATGAACTGTACTCGATCTCCCACAAGGCTCTAACCACATCTGCCTTATCGTGTATCAGTATCCCACCAATTTTTGCAGAGCCAGCCAGTCTGTCTGCCTGTTCATTTCCTAACACACTGGCGTATCCCGGTGAAAAATTCTATACAATACACCTCACCCATGTCCTCCGCAGTGAAGCATGCCACTCTGCACGAAGCATGCCTGTCCTGGCCTTTCTCAGCATGCTTTCTGAGTCAGTTACAATCACGATGTGTGTGTGTGTGTGTGAGTGTGTGGTGTCTGTGTGTGTTTGCAGTTCCTTGCGACTGTACTTTATTGTTGGAGGGGAAGAGAGTCACAAGGAGACCCTCAGAGACGACTGTAGATAGTTTGATCTCATGGCATTGAAGAGCATCTGTACTAAAAGGATTGATTTCCCCTTTGTGTTCCAAGACGCCATTTTAGATGAAAAACAATGGATCCACTGCGCCCTAACAAGTACGTCTCACTTTTTACGAACAGTAGACCATAGATCAGGAAGAGAAAAAGAATCGACATTCTGAACGAGTTGAACATCAGGGAGAAATGGCTCATAAACAGCATCTTTTCCCGAAAGTTGAAGTATTTTGGCCACATCAAATGTCATGGTGGCTTGGAAAAAGACGGTGATGGAAGGTGCAGTTTGTGGAAGGCGAGGCGGGGATCGACCACCGCGAAGATGGATCAAGACATTGAAAATGCATTGTCATTGAAGGCACATGGGGCCGGAGAGCTGGCTGGGGAAAGGGATACTTTCAAGCGTGTCGTGAAGAGAACGACGTTCTGTAAAGGACTTGCTGATTGATAAAGAAAAGATCATGTGATACTTGAAAGCAAAGGGAGGTTGGATGGCGTTAAGGATAATGGCCTCGACAAACTGTGAGCAGCAGGTGACTGACTTGTAATCCGACCAGGACAGCACAATGAGCAATTAACAAAGTGCCACCATTCGGATGAAAATAACCCAGGTCAAGTTTCAAACCCTGTTTAACCACAAGGTAATATTAGAGCTCCCGACAAAGGTTACGAAGCTGAAGCCCAGCCAGGCTAGGGCTTTAAAATAACATTTAAAAAAATGTGACCCATATTTGGACTGTGTGAGAAGCGTCGCTCATTTTTTTATAACAGGGTCGGGTGATTTCTGTAACAGAGTACGCTCTGACGATTCTGACTATTAGTCGTACACACATAGAGAGACTAGATCAGGTACAGAATGAGGCCATGCGCATCATACTTGGATGCACAAAGCATACAGCAGGCAGGGCCATGCGTTACGTGATTGACCTTGTAACCATGGAATGAGAAGAAACATCTGCCTCGCTAGTAGGTTTCTGTTGAGTTAGCCTAGACATACATCCCCTACTGCACATTATAAACATACATCCCCTACTGCAAATTGGGATTCACACGAAGAAAGTAAGCAGGTTAAAGAGAAGATGTTGGATAGGTCAGGCAGAAGACATAATTCAACAAGTTTGTTCACTTGAGAAATTAGAACCTGCAGCCTTGATTCTTGATAAATCTGCAGATAGAGGTGCATTTTTTACGCCGACGGATCCGTCGTCCCACATGTACAAAGCTCATAGGGTTTCATATTGGAGGTTCGGCAAGGAGATGTAAAGGAAGACAGCGGTACTTTTATTTTGACTAAAAGCAGTCTGACTATCGAGGTGATGGCGGTAACAAAAGCAATGTCCTGGCTAGAGGCACAGATGTTTTCCAAAGCGTGCTTTCAAACTGATTCTATGAATATGGTTGTGAAACTCAGGACAGAGTGAGTTCGACGACGAAGGTTGGAGTTTCTCACAAAGTAAAAATCAGGGTAATTTTTGTGATACGAGGGAGTAACTGACAGGGCTTCTGTAGCCACAGGAAGAGCAGCGGACCTATCAAGGAGGCAGGAAGAGTAGATCATTCAGATGACAATTAATAGGCAACATTGACAAGAATACAAAAGCCACATGTAAAAACAGGCGTTGCCAGACATGAACACTACACAGGAAGTCAAAAAAGAATAGTAATTCAACACAGAACTGACATTAGCAATCGCTACACTCTAAAGGACCTACTGAAGATAAGACCCAAGTGCTTATGAACGTGTCCCATGTGTGGTTATGATAATCGGCCGATCAACTAACTAAGCATGTTGTAAATGGCAACTATTTAGGTTTCTGAAATCAAATGAACTGGGCTGACATGTACAGGTATCAAAGTTTGGCTGTAAACAATACAATGTGACAAATGAATCTTCAGGGGTGAACGCTGAAGAGGAAGAAGAAGAAGAAGAAGAAGAAGAAGAAGAAGAAGAAGAAGAAGAAGAAGAAGAAGAAGAAGAAGAAGAAGAAGAAGAAGAAGAAGAAGAAGAAGAAGAAGAAGAAGAAGAAGAAGAAGAAGAAGAAGAAGAAGAAGAAGAAGAGGAAGAGGAAGAAGAAGAAGAAGAAGAAGAAGAAGAAGAAGAAGAAGAAGAAGAAGAAGAAGAAGAAGAAGAAGAAGAGGAAGAAGAAGAAGAAGAAGAAGAAGAAGAAGAAGAAGAAGAAGAAGAAGAAGAAGAAGAAGAAGTAGAATAATCATAATAAGAAGGTGGAGGAGAAGGACGAGGAGTATTGACAAAAATGTAATTATATCAGAATTTATTGGGTGTTCCCAGAGTGGAATAATTCTGATTCAGACTAACAATAAAATTGCTATTTCAAAAAACATGCAATTTCGTTGATTATCTACAGGGGCAGTCTATCTTCCAAGTTTCTGCTGTAGATGGTGACCGGGGCGTGAGCCAGCCAAATCATATTCAGTACACCCTCAGTGGAGGTATGCAGACTTCTTTAGCAGAAACTGCTTTTGAATCTATCACCCCCCCCCCCCCAGCCCCACCCATCTTAACTGAGATTTATCTGTGTTCACTAATAGCCCCCCCCCCCTTTTTTTTTAAATTAAACACACAACGATCTATTTATTAATAATGAATGTTCCCTTCGTGTCAAAGCTGAAAAGGTCCGTTTTTGTGTCATAGAGGTAATTGACTGTCACAAAATATTTGATACTTAACATTTACGTGTCTTCCTCCTAGCGTTCACCAGCTGTAAACTCCAGCGGACAGTTTTGGTTGTTCGTATACTGCTGGATTTTGTTTCTGATCCAGAACTTAGTTTTTCATTCACATCCATTTTACAGATTTGGCTTATTCGTATGCAGACTGTTGGTTCCTTACCTCTTAGGCAGATTCATTCCGAATTTGAAGGAAACACCCTAAGTTAGTCACCTTCTACGACATGCTTGTTATAAAAGCAGTGGGTCAATTCGTTATTCTCCAGAACGGGGACAAGGAACCCACACGGTGAATTTCCGTTCCTGTATGACCAACCTAATGGCTTGTATAAACAAAGTCAGTATAAGGTTAGTTGCGTATCCTCTACAGGATGTTGCAGAACCAACTTCAGCAGCCCTTGGCTGTTGTGTGGTTTTTCTAGACAAGTTTACGTCCAGTAGTTCGCCATTGCTTTCTGGGCGGTCGGCTATCTTGATACCACTGTCGAAACCAACGCAAGGCCCATGGCCCAGCAGCTGGGATCGAACCCGGCATCCCGGCATTACGAAGCGTTCGCATCGACCTAGCCACAGAGCCGACAAACAAAGTCAGTAAAGGACCGTATTTTTATGACAGTCGGGTAGAGAACATATGATACTAGACCAGCCGTTCTCAACCTGTGTGTCGCGACCACTGTGGGGGTTGAAAGACCCTTTCACATGGGTCGCCTAAAACCATCAAAAAAACAAACAAACATTTTCACTGAAGTTTTGAAGTAGCAAGGAAAATAATTTGATAGTTGGGGGCCACAACAGCATGAGGAACTGTATTAAAGGGTCGCGGCATTAGCAAGGTAGAGAACCACTGTGCTAGACTATTATTGATTATGAATTAATCAAGTAACAGAAAGTATTGTGAACGGCACTCATAGAAAGAAGTAGAAAGATAGAAGAACACACTAGACAACATAAAAATCGAAAGCTATAGTTACCGTGCCGGGAATTGAACCTGTCACCTCCAGACGGCGTCTGCGCCTCGCCATGAATACAAGTGCACTAAGATACATGGTCAACTCGGCACCCCCAAAAAAAAGGTTCTCATTGGTCTCATTGGCCATGTCTATCGTACAGCTTGAAATCCACGACTATGGAATACGGACAGAATTCAATTCAACCCATTGAAATGGCACCATAGGTTACAGAAATTTATATTAACGAGGCAAATGTCAAATAACAATCACAGCAACAATTTACGTACACAGTAGACCTTATTGCCTTGTCTAGAATACACAAACATTTAAGAAAGGTATTTGATTGGTAGGTTCCGGTGTGTATACGCGGCTTATAAATTTTGTTCCAAATGTTCAATTGCATTTATCGTCGCCTTTAGATTACGTCCATTGAGTTTTCTATTACATTTTACGTATAGACTATTATTGGGTCATGTGGCATATCACACTGACAGATTTTATTTCCCAGAAAACTTCCTGAAATCCATTTTAAACTGTGTCGACCAAGGACCGAAGATCGCATTTAACCTTTATCCGCCCATTGCGGAATGAAAACCGAGGTAGTTTATGATTCTATTACAATTTCCGCGGCTTATAAATTTTGTTCCAAATGTTCAATTGCATTTATCGTCGCCTTTAGATTACGTCCATTGAGTTTTCTATTACATTTTACGTTTGTTGTTATTGCTGTTGTTGTTGTTTTGAAACCGAGTTTAGTGTTCAGGAACTGTAAATAGCTATATTAACTTTGTCACCCTATCTGTCTTTTAATATTCACTTACAAATGACAATAACTCAACTGATCTCAGGCAGGTAATTTTCATCTTCCTCATTACTATCATTTTCAAGCCCCCCACCCCGCCCCCACCGACACCTACTCCTCATTTTAATCATCACTGAGTTATCGGTTATGAGGTATTTATTTATGGTCATAAGTGCCCAGATTTCCCGTTCGGCATATGCAGCATCCTACCGTAAAATATGCCAGCCACAGCCAGATAATTCATCATATTTTTATGCCATAATTAATTTTACACAGTTCGTTCGTCAGTTTATAAAATATGTTTTCTTTGTTTCAATGCAGCAGACAGCTCACAGTTTGCAATTGGTTCCTCTGACGGTATCATCAGGGTTAAGGAAGTTTTGGACGCGGACAAGGAAGAAGTCAGGAATAAAGGGGGCTTGTACTCGTTTGCTGTTATTGTAAGTTGCTTTTGTTATGTCTGTAAACATGTCTTATATGACGCAATGATGATTACATGTTATCTGCTACTTGGTAAATTAAATAACTAAAAGTATTGAACAAAGAAGACATAAACAATAGATTGAATAATCTACTGCCTTTCATATTTCGCTGTATCTCGTCAGGTGAATGCTACAGTAACAATTACATAAACGAAGAAAATAAGTGAATCCTTTATAAATGAAGTACAAATTCAAACACTCTCAAAAGCAACTGTCTGTTTTACCAGAGCAGTCGCATCGTCACATCGTCTTTCTGTTTACTAAAGTCTGGACGGAAGTAACGAATAGGAGCGACTTCAAGCAAATTTAGTGCTCCCAAAGGATGACCTGTGAAAAATTTGACATGCACTGGCTTTTTTAGGGATTTCTCGTTGGTCAAAGGGTGGCTTGATATAGAAGAGGCATGGTCTTTCTAACCGGTAACCTAGGAATAAGCAACGAACTCAGGTCCAGCTCCGCCCACCTACACACTAGGTGGCCTTTCATTGATGTTTGGTCAGGTTGGTGTACGTTAGAGGGGTGTAGAATGCACTCTCTCGTAAGACCTAGGTTCACTGTGAGAGGTATGGATTTTGGGGTTGGGGCCAGTTGTACATGCTATGGGGTCGTTAAAACCGCTCACATCCTGTTTTATAGAGCACGCTTGGTCGACGGTAAGACAGTCGAGACAATACAATGTCGCACCAACCTGCCATCGCTGTCACTTAAACTTAAGTGTCTCAAAGGTTAACGCAGTGTCCTGGCCCGCCTTCATCCCTCATAAGTGTGTAGGTGGGCGGAACTGAACTAAGCTCATTATTTGTTCCGTAACTCAGGTCGTGTGTTTGTTAAATTTTTGTTCTTGTTATTTTGGTTTTAATTTTTTTTACTTCCCCCCCTTTGTCCCCCCCCCCCCCCCCCCCCCCCCCTTTTCGGAATACGTCGTCCTATGAAAGGGTGCTAAAGTGAAAGGAAAGGTCATGGCAGATCTTTTATCTACAATGTCAAGCTTGAGAATGGAGGTGGAAGCAATCACTAAGTGGATGGCAGAATATAATTACCAGAGGAATAGTGGTGTCTGATTCTTAGTTGGTACTGCGGAAAGTTCAAAGTTGACAAATCTGGCCAGAGTGGATATCCTGTATCATCATGTCAACATGAATGAATGAATGAATTTCTACCCCACCAAGACATCACACAAGCGATAAACACCCGATGACACAAAGTGCCACCATGTGAATGAGGATCACAGTGGAGAGGTCCCAGAAACCGCGTTCAGACAATTGGCCATATTGATAGCCTGCCTATATTGCGGCTTCTGGCAAAAGCCAGAGTGGGGCTTCAAAAAAGAAAAAATTACGTCCTGAAAAGGACGTAAGTAAGGAATAATAAAATATCATGTCAACATTACAGGGACTAATGGATTTACTGTCGGGACATGCAAGAGTGCGAGGGGGTGAAAGACTGGATTTAATGGATATACTGTCGGGACATGCGGGAGTGCGAGTGCGGGAGTGCGAGTGCGAATGATGATTTTCTGACTATAAAAACGACAGATACTGAAACACTAGAAGACATGTTTGATAGAAGACATGAGGATAGATGATAAAACACGTAAGAATGTGTGAATTAGAAATCCTGTCCAGGTTCGGCAAGGAGGGACGTATGAGAGGAAGACAATGATGAATGTCTAACACTTAGCATCTAGAACTTACGATATTTGCTGCCGGAGACGGTACGGGCATGCCCCATGTGCTATGATGTCGATTCTTAAACCAGGAAGTCAGATGATGAATATAATTAAATGACAGAAGGCTAATGATAACGACAGTTGCTGATAATGACAAAAAAGTCACATGATAATGATTACAAACCGGAGGCTACTAGGTTGATGATGATAAATACAATTATAAATACAAAATAATGAAGGTAAGCTTGATATCAGCGACCTACTAGTGATGGTAATGATACAAATCATACAATTGGATGGTCAGGTTGAAACATTTTACAAATACAAATCTAGTAATTTAACACGTTCTTTCTAAATCACTACAGCATTCAACATAGTCCAAGTAGCTCACTGATCGAGGCATGATTCTGTTTTTAGCATACTTCGATGTTAAGGCTTTGTAGAATGTCACTAAGTATTTCAGTTCGCTTTTTAAAAATTTATGATTCAAAATAATATCATAGAAGCGACAGAATCAGAATGAATGGTATAAGGCAAAAAAGTCGAGAAAAAGGGGGAAAGGAGGGGGGGGGGGGGGGGTTGTGGTGGTGGTGCTAAACCTGTGATAACTACATCAACAACGTGTCAATAAGAGTACCACAGGACAATGCACTAGAAAGAGATGTGTCACTAAGACACAACAGAAGCAAATCTAGAGGTGGCCCACGTCACTCATGGATAGATGGATATAATATCAAGGGCCTCGAATACCAGCAACTACTCATCACACAGCAAGGTTCGCACCACATGCCTATTCTGTACCTGGTGCTAAAAGGCACCAGGACAAGATTGAGATATTTCAATAATTTTTTACAGATTCACAAGTATTTAAAGAACTATAGGCATATTCTTCTTCGCGTTCACATGCTGTAAACATTCGGAAAGTTCTGGTTTATTCGTCCACTTCTGGACTCTAGTCCTTTTCCAGAAACTGAGTGTTTCGTGCACACCCGTTTCACAAGTGTGAATCATTTACATGCATATAGGATTTGTTTGTCTATATTCTCTCACAGGCAACAGAGGAATCCGGGAATTCGACAGAAAACCCAAACAATAGAACAGAAACTCCGATATCAGTGACAGTCACAGACATCAACGACAACCCACCAAAGTTTAATGCAAATAATTATAGTGCCAGTGTCCAGGAAAACACACCAAAAGGAGTTCCAATCACCATTACATCAAGCATTGAAGTGGTAGATATTGATCAGGTAATTCATTACACAGCTACAAGTTTACATACTGTCCCACATTTCTTTGGTTCTAATTTCCATCCAGGTAAATTTTGTATGATGGAGCGGAAACACGATGAACAACTAAGACAATCACTAATAAACCAAAAACATTAATTAACTGGTGCCTGCGCAGAATAGAGCCAATGAAATGGGAGATATAATCACTAAAGTAGAGCTTTGGGAGTGAACTAAATAGCTATAACTTACTTACGTCCTTTTCAGGACGTAATTTTTTCTTATTTGAAGCCCCACTCTGGCTTTTGCCAGGGGCCGCAATATAGGCAGGCCATCAATATGGCCAATTGTCTGAACGCGGTTTCTGGGACCTCTCCACGGTGATCCTCATCCACGTGGTGGCACTTTGTGTCATCGGGTGTTTGTCGCTTGTGTGATGTCCTGGTGGGGTAGAAAGTCAGTCAGTCAGTCAGTGAACTAAACAAAGTCCAGTGGACCAAGAGGTGAAGAAAAGACGCTGGCGTTGGACACACGTTGACAAAACCTGAGAACTTTATAACTAGAATTTCTTTGCACTGAAACCCACAGGGGCATAAAAATAAAGGAAGACCAAAAAGTGAAGTGAAGTTAAAAAGATTAGGAGGACATTGGGAGAGCTGTATGCGATACGGCTAGAACGAATGGTCGTGAGTTGTGTGAAGGCTTATGCTCCATTGGGTGTTAGAAGGTAGAAGAAGAGAGATTTTTTAAAAGACCGTGTGTCTTGTCTTCTACATTGACCCAGTTGTCACATACCGCTCCTGTCACGTGCCTGATTTAATGATTTCTCCCTAAGAACCAACAGCACTCTGAAATAATTATGTTGAGTCGTTGGCTCGTATTGGTCTAAGGGATATCCCGTGCCCAATATACGCTCAACTTATTCCAGGAGTAGGGCAACTCAAGCTTTGGCACTACAAAATATATAATATTCCTAGGCACACTTGGCTGGACATCCCCACTACTATAAAAAGGTAGCTCCCAGGTTATGATAGTATATTATCATAGCCATATTAACAAAGATTACACTTATTATTCACACAAACATAAAAACTGGACAGTTAGAATGGTGAAACAGGGACACCCAAGTCAGCCATGAGAATTTCTACATGTAATAAGTACAATATAAATACAAAAATAAATGAATTGATAATCAAGAGTGATCAGTTAATGGAGTTCAGGAATTAATGACACAACACAGATATTGAAGCAGCCAGATATAGTTCTTTGAGTGTACATGAGTTCATCATCGAAATCACAAGGTGCTGTGGGAAGAGAGCATGTAAATGAATAAGCGATCACTTATCCCAGTTCGTAGGTCAATGCTCCCCTCAGTCCATGGTGATTCGGCTGTAGTTGACTCAATAGGTAGCTATGCTTCGATTTGAGCTGGTACAAGCTGACTGTCTCACAAGCGAGGACACAGGAACTGCACAGGAGCCCAACAAAGCTCTTGGAGATTGTGGTGCCCGCTGACTGTCTCACAGGTGAGGACACAAGAACTGCATGAGAGCCAAACAAAGCTCTTGAAGACTGGTTGTCTGGATTGATGACATAGGTGTCTGCAATTGTCTACTAGTCCTGGAACTCACAAACAAACTCTTGCCATGTTGAGGTAGTGGCACAATGGGCAGGACTTTTGGGTATGCTTGGTGCCCAGAATCGTATGGGTTGGTGGTTGTTGGCTGGACTGTGATTCGTCTGCCTAATCTCTAAGGAGGTATCATCCCAAGCTTAGGAATTCTTCCAATATAGAACTGGTACTTTGAATGCGCCAATTTTCTACATAGACTGTATACACGTCTTGGCACTTAAGAATCAGGCGAGAGAATCCCGCTCAAACCCAAACTTGGCGTCTCTAGGAAAGAAGTCCCCTATATTCATGCCTAAGGAGTAAACCGGCTTACAGGAATTTCTGAATAAAATACCAGAAATCTTCAACCTACAGTTGCAAGTTTGAAAATGAAGATTTATCAAAGCAACTAGAGGGTCTAGAAATGAATATTTTACCAGATAAAGGTATATAGCAATATAAGGGACTATAAACCCCTCCGGACGGGTTTAAGTTTGAAATGTGCCCGCTTAGGGAAGTCAGAGTCACGACTCGTCCATCCTGTAGGTTTGGCTGTTCACTTCATGACACCAGTATTAAAGATGTCTTGACTTCTAAGTTGACCCAGTCTAAAAGATGTCTTGTCTTCTAAGTTGACCCAGTCTGAAAGATGTCTTGTCTTCTACGTTGACCCAGTCTAAAAGATGTCTTGACTTCTAAGTTAACCCAGTCTAAAAGAAACATAGAATGCCCTTTAAAGTAAAGACGGTCGACGTAATGTTGACTACATCACCCATCGAGTGACGATTGTTTTATCAAAATATGAGTCTCGTAACAATATGTGTCCGACATGTTACGGGGTAAAAGAGTCCTTTACTTGACTTACCTAATTATTAAACTCGATTCTGTTATCCCCCTCATTGCTCTTTCCATCGTTGTTCTGTTTTTAATTTATTTATTTATTCCTACGTGAGTTTCAGGGCTCCATGTTTGAAAAACGGAGGGGGGGGGGGGACAGGGGGAGACGTGTTAATTTATCCACTGCCCCTTTACAAGCATGTCGTACAAGGCGACTAATTATGAAAGTTTACGTCGAAGACGATGGTGCAGAGAGGAAAGGAACTAACAGTCCTCATACACGTAAAACGGTTGTGCATACACAACTTTAGTTTTCGTACAAGACCAAAGTCCAAAAGTTTATTTTAAGACATGGTTAATCTCAATTTATTTTTATTGTGTTTAGAAATGAAAATAACATTTCTTCCGTGAGAGAAACACGTATTCACAACACCTTCATTCTCCCCTGTTCTCCCACACAGCTTTTTTGATTTTGGTTCTGTTTCTTTGTTTTTGTCAAAATAATGCATAAGATTATTAGTTTAACCACACCAGGACCGTACAACGAGCGACCATCACCCGGTGACACAAAGCGCTAACATTCGGATGAGGATCACCTGGGCACAAATCCCAGCATCCCAATTTAACCGTTACGTTATATTAGGTGCTCCTGACCCAAAAAAAGGGGGGGGGGGGGGGGTCTAAAATAACGAAAAGTGGGACTAAAGTTAATTAAATGCATGCGAGTGCATATGTTTGCTTGTGTATGTATAAGTGCATGTGTGTGTATAGAGGGAGTGGGCGTGTGTGTATATATATATATATGAGTTTAACTGTATGTATGTATAAGCATGAGTGTGGATGCTTGTACAGTTGTGCTTGTATGTGTATGTATGGCCATATAAGAGTGTATGTATACGTCTATATTGGGAGTGGGTATGATTGTGTATACATGATGTTTGTATGCATTATTTAATATTCTATATTTTTGTGTGTGCATTTTTTCATTATGTATATATTTTTTATATAAACATAAAAATGCATTATTTGTAACCTGGAATAGCAGTTGAAAAGATCAATGCTTGGAAGGACCGAATGTAAGACGGGCTGGCGTGCCCAATGTGTAACCCTTTGAAAATAAAGTTCGTTTGCTGGATTCTTTCACTCACTCACTCACTCGCTCACTCACTCGCCCACTCACTCGCTCACTTACTCACTCGCTTGCTTACTCACTAGCTCACTTACTCGCTCACTTACTCACTCGCTCACTCACTCGCTCACTTACTCACTCACTCGCTCACTTACTCACTCGCTCGCTCGCTCGATCACTCACTTACTCGCTCAGTCACTCACTCACCCTCACTCACTCACTCACTCACTCACTCACTCACTCACTCACTCACTCACTCACTTACTGAATAATTCAGACGTCGTCTCCACAATGATTTTGGGTGCAATAAATTTCAAACTGATTCCGTCTCTCATTCTGTTTGAACTCTCTGAGACTATTGTTCGTCCCTCAGAATAAAGTGTATTGTTGAACTTTTGCACTAACTACTTGTTTACACTGACATCGTACAACTTTACAACTTTACCATTTGAAACAGGATGTCAACAGTCGGTTCTGGGTATACCTGGAGAAGGACGATAACCCTTACAATGACTTTGATACCTTGCCTGCAGCTAATGTGGTCATTCAGGGGAGATCAACTATCACAATTAGAGTGTTTAATTCTTCTGTTCTTGATTATGAAACAACAAAGAATCTGACATTCCAGGTAAAGAAATGATGTATTTTTATTTTTGGTTTTATTGTGTTTGCTTGTTTGTTCAAAATAAATAATTTAGAAGAGTAATAACACTTTCCTTTTACGAAAGATGGAACAATTTGTATGTACAACCTGTTTATTTTTGCATCTGGCTTTATTACTAACAACTCATCAAAGACAATTACGTTAACAGATTCCCGTCCCATTGTGGGAGGCAATATTTATTTTTATTTTAAAGCACTATTCTGGCTGTCGTTTAGGGTCATAAACACGGGTTGAAGGAGGTTTCTGTGACTTGCGCATGTGTGATTCTCATTCAGAAGGTGCCATGGCATGTTAATCGCACGTCGTGCGATCCTGGCGAGGTTGAACTTCGCTTAGTCAATTGACACTGGGGTACCTAGTCTATCGGTTGCCGGTGTCGTAATTATATTTCTAAGTCCCCATCTGGGTTTCATGGATCCATTGGGGAGATGGGGGGGGGGGGGGGGGTAATAGACTCACTGTTCTTAAATATACATGTTGTAAAAGCCGACTATTACAAATGTATCCTTCGAAGTGGGAGTGCATCTGCCGAGAGGCAAGAAACCAAAGGTCTGCAGACAAACAAGCCAAATTTGTTATAAAGATGTGCACGCAACATTCAAGTTTATGGAACAGAACCATAGTCCAGAAGTGGGCGAACAACCAGAACTTTCTGTCTGAAGCTAGAACCGGTGAATGCTAAAAAGTAGAGGAACAAGACGATTTTTGACTGGATTGACTTTGGAGCTAAGCCCACTTGCACAAAATCTGCCCAGTCGGATTCAAACCATGGATCTGCGAGCAGGAAGGTAAGCGTTTAGCCACTGTGCTACCTCAGCTTCACCATATGTTGGGTCGAGGCCTTAAACCTACATCCAGTCCCAGTTAGACCCAGCCTAAAACGGCTACCAGGTAATGTCTGGTGTGATGCAAGCGTGATGCTGACCATCCAGCTAGAGCTGATTGGTATATAATAATATATGCATCATACGCCTGTGGTTTCACTGTCGTCAGCGGGACCATATACTATTTTTACTTATGAGGCAACTGATATCAGAGTTTTCTGTGACATTCTCGGATTCTGCCGTTGTCTTTTTCACAATAAGTAGAAATTCATTTAAATCATACACTGAGTGTGTGTACTGTACATACATAGATACACACATAATCGTTGATCTGTTAATGTCGTGGAGATGTATCGATGAAAGCGCTAACACACTAAATCTGCCATCTTTCTCTGTCTTCCGTTTTCTGAACAAGTGTCTAATAATTTATCCTTGTCCATTTCTTGATGTTGTTGCCATTTCACCCCCCCCCCTTTTCCCCCGTTTGTGTGTGTGTGGCCCTTTCGACTAACCCCTGTGTTCTTTGAAATATATATTGTCTATGCAATCAAATCATGACTCATGACGTGCCGGAACCAAACTATCGTGAAACTTTTACCACTGCCAAGCTCTTGATGCCTTCAATTTCTTTTTTTTTTTTTTTTGGTCTCTGACATATTTGTTAGTTGTATGATCTAAACAGCAAATTCGTAAAATTTATCTAGAGCATTTGTGGTCGAAAGCCTGAATTCTCCTTTTAACTTCCACTTTGAGAGTTCAGCTCTCACATCCGCGTAAGAAAATAAACAATAGTAATAATTTGTATATATTGACCTTTACTGCTGTGTTGATTTTGCTCTTCCACATCGTATTCAGCGGGGACATCACGGCTGTTGCCATATCAAGTCTTGTCTTGATTTCTTTGGTACAGCTGCCATCGTTACATATGTGGGAGCCGTTGCATCTATGGGTTTCAACTTCTTGCAGTTTGTTCCCCTTTTATTTTATGAATTATTCGAGTAAGATTAAGTGTATTGATCGGCACTCATAGAAAGAAGTAGAAAGATAAAAAAAAACAAAAAAAAAAAAAAAAACACACTAGACAACATAAAAATCGAAAGCTATAGTTACCGTGACGGGAATTGAACCTGTCACTTCCAGACGGCGTCTGCGCCTCGCCATGAGTACAAGTGCACTAAAAAACATGGTCAACTAGGCACCCCCCACCCCTCTCCCAAAAAAAAAAAAGGTGTCTTATTGGCCATGTCTATCGTACAGCTTGAAATCCACAACTTTTTTTTGTATGTTTGGTAGGTACTTAGTTGTTGTGACTATTTACCAGTATCTTGCTTTTCTCAGCGTTCACTTCTGTGCCATATTTACCACGACCTGCCTCTAATTTTCTAGTAAATTCTTTGAGTTCTTTTCGGAACCAGTCATGAGATAAGTGTCATCCGCGAAACGTCAATTACAGTCTTCTGCTTATCTGTTGTCAGATCTTCTTCTGCCTTCTATCCCCAGTGAAGCATAGGCCCTCAACCAACTCACACCAAGTCGTTCTATCCTTCTCTAGTGCATGCAGCCCACCCTATATCCCCCCCCCTCTTTTTATGTTCACTCCCTGGTTTCCTTCTAGTTATTGATATCTTGCGACATTTAAGTTATGTCTTGTTGTTTATAACTGCATCAGTGTCCATTTGCATTCTTAAGTAACAACGGCTTTTTAGTCGCAGTATTCAATTTGTTATTCGTGAATGTTGCATTGTGAAGCACACTAGTTCTAGCTCACGTCTGGATTGGTATTTGCTCATCTACATTCAGCAATGTGTGATTAACGCCCAATGCCTTTGTTTTGCTTTAATCTCAGCTTTTGTATCCTGGTCTTTTCAAGCTCATAGCCAAAGAAAACAATTCCAACCCCAACATAACAAGTTCATCAGTGGCAACAGTAACCCTAACCATCTTGGACGTCAACGACAACAGTCCCCAGTTCCCCGACCAGCCCAGAGCATTCAACGTTTCCGAAGACGCTCCTCTTGGTCACGTGATAGCAACCATCACCGCCACGGACGCCGATTCTGGGGATTTCGGGCAGATTGTGTTTAGTCTCGAGGACAACGGGCTTGATGGAACCTTCAACATCAGTGAGCAGGTAAGAGATGTAAAGGACCCTTCTCCACGCCCGAAAATAGAATTAGATCTATATTTTAAAGACTGATCAGCGCTTGGTGGGTGCTATGGTCACCATCCCATCGATTGCCTTCACTTCAAGGTCGATCTGGGAGTAGAGGTCATTTCTGAAAAAAATATGGACACCGTCAGAACACAATAGTGTATAAATAAGCCAGATCCGTAAAACGAAAGTGCATGCAAGAATCAACTAGAGCAAAGTCTAAATGTGGACAAACTATCATAACTTTCTTTCAGAGTATAGAGCTAGCGAACGCTAAGAAAATGACTCTTCCATTGACTATGTCGACGATAATCGGCAACTAAACTAGACGTCAGTTTGTTTCGGCACGTATACCCTCTGCCAAATGCATTTATTGCGCGCGCGCGCGCGCGCGCGCGCGTGTGTGTGTGTGTGTGTGTGTGTGTGTTATCAAGACAGCCTACTATTTATCCCCACCCCTCTCCCTCCTCCATAAGTGACAACAATGAACGTTCTGCTCGGTTGAGGCTGGTATATGAATGAAGCAACTATGGGATAATTCGTTTGCCGTTAAGTTGTAGTTCTGATTAATTGTTTAACTGAGAGTCATAATCTTTATCTTCCTCTACACCCAAAACGGTAAAATGGGACACACACACACACACAAAAAGGATAAGAAGAATGCTCGGTCGGTCGGTCAGTCGGTCGGTCGGTCGGTCGGTCGGTCGGTCGGTCGGTCGGTCGGTCAGTCGGTCGATCGGTCGGTCGGTCGGTCGGTCGGTCATTCGGTCTGTCTGTCTGTCTCTGTCTCTCTTTCTCTCTTTCTCTCTTTCTCTCTCTCTATCTATCCACCTCTCTCGCTTTCCTTCTAAATATATTACTCGTCCAAAACTTGAGATAAACCTATATAAAACATGTTTGGCGTACTATCTTCCACAACAAATCAAAGAGACAATTAGTCATTGTACAGGCGATCGGAAACTGTTCGAATATTACCTGAGCACAGATTACATGCCATTAATCATCATCATCAGTTCTCGTTGTGCCTAGTGGCTCATGAGGCTTCAGAGAAGACTTTCCATGCTTTCCTGTCCTGTGCAATCTTCAGTGCAGTTTTCCATGTCAAAGAAGCCGCACTCAGGTCACTTTCCATCGTTCGTCTTCATGTTGTTTTTGGGCGCCCCTGTTTTCTCTTTCCTTCTGGTGTCCATGTGTTTTGGCAGGTATATCAGGATTCATTCTCATAACGTGGCCAAGCCATTTCCATCTTCTCTTGGTTATCATATTTTTCCATCTTCTCTTGGTTATCATATTGTCTAAAGTTTCTTGGTTTGTGACTTAAAGTAGTTTAGTGTTTGAGATTGTATCCGGCCAGACAATTTTGATAATTCTATGTAAACATGTGTGGTAGAAGACGGACAGCTTGTGTGCATCCTTTTTGGTCATTCTCCAGCATTCCGCTCCATAAAGAAGAACTGGCCAAATAATGCTCTTGTGGAGTCGGAGCTTTGTTCCTCTGCAGTAATTGTTGGATTTCTAGATTTCATCCTTCCAAAAGCAGCTCTAGCTTTGTTCAGACGTGACGGTATGTCCTCTTCGGTCCCTCCCGGCAGGGACACCAAACTGCCAAGATATGTGAAATGTTCTACATTTTCAAGAGTTTGGTTACTTATGGTCACTGGTTGTTGGTTTGGACTACTTGTCATGATCTTAGTTTTCTTTGTATTTATTCTCAGTCCCACCATTTCTGCTGTGCTGTGTAGTCTGTTACTTTTTTCTTGTATATGTTCATGTTTATGTGATAGGAGTGCTAAATCATCGGCAAAATCAAGGCCTCAAACATGGTGAATGGAGTCCATCGTGTGCATCTCAATGTTCTGTCTACTGTGTTCTGTAGTATCCAATCAATCACAAGGTTGAAGAGGAGAGATGACATAACACATCCCTGTCTTACACCTGTCTTTACTGGGAAAGATGTATTGTAATTTTTTATACTGCAGGAAAAGTCTTTATAGAAGAGAGCAATTATGTTGACTATTTTTTTCTGGAATTCCATAATGTTGTAAAATTTTCCATAGACTGTCTCTAGGGACGCTGTCAAAAACTTTCTCAAAGTCCACCAAATTAATATATATACTTCTCTGCCATTGATTGCATTGCATTACATGCCATTACAGAAGATTAAAAAAAAACTTTTGTAGCAATAGCGCACATTTTCCCCAGATTCACTACAACCACTACGGTTTACTGAAGTTAGAAATGTGCACATTCCAGTGCTTGTATTGAATAGTGTTCTTTCACACACGGAGAACCGGTTACATGTGATGTTTTATGGTATTGCTTGTGCAGGGCGTGATCACATTGGCTCAACCCCTGGACTGGGAGGAGCGTAAGTCCTACACCCTTGCTGTCATCTCATCGGACAGTCCTCAGAACCAAGACCAACACAGACAGTCGACTTTCCGCATTCAAGTCAATGTCCTGGACGTCAATGACAATGCACCCAACTGGGCACAGTATGTGGAGTATGTTACTGTCCTGGAGAGAAGCGCTGTTGGCACAAAACTGACCGTTCTGAAAGCTACTGACCTCGACGGTGGATTGAATGGTCAGGTAAGACATCGAATATTCAGAATTAGCATAGTCATTGCCATCATCATGTGCCATGCTGGTAAGCCAAAGCCATCAAATCTCGCATTTCCATTTCTCCACAATCTTGGAACATATCTAAGTTATCTATCCATTATTGTTGTTTAGCCGCCAAGCCATGTATGTGTTTGTCTCATTGCTGTCTGCTTGTTATCGGGAGGGGGGGGGGGGTGGGCAGTGGAGTTATATATATATATATATATATATATATATATATATATATATATATATATATATATATATATATATATATATATATATAACATTTAATGGATCCAGTCAATATAAAAAAGTTAGATCAACTTTCGCACTCACTGAAGCTTCTGGGCAGTATGGCGGATAGACAGGCTGACTGTTTTAGTCATGGTAAGTGTTTACAGCTGTGTGTGTCAAAAATATGTTTTGTCTCCCCACAAAGAACAGTGATGAGATTAACACTCTGTGTGGTTTTTGTTGGCGTAGGAACGAGCAATCATGGGTGACCCGTTGGCTGTGAGGTTTAAACTGTGGTTACCTAAAGTTGACAAATGGACACCGCGATAGCGCACTGGCCGGCATTCCGGTGCGATGCATATTCGGAGATGTGTTCAAATCTTCTTTAATTCGACAGTTTTGTTTTCATATACCTGAATTCCAAAGTCGATTCAGTGCATCACAGGACCAGACAACAAACAAGAAATAACATCACACGGTTTGATTCACCGAGTTATGATTGATCTAAAATTATACGGATACGATTATACGGATACGATTTGTTCAATTAGGGTTATATCCAGTTTCGTCCTTTTCAGGACGAAATTTTTTGTCATTTGAAGCCCTACTCTGGCTTTTGCCAGGGGCCGCAATATAGGCAGGCCATAAATATGGCCAAATGTCTGAACGCGGTTTCTGGGACCTCTCCACGGTGATCCTCATCCACATGGTGGCACTTTGTGTCATCGGGTGTTTATCGCTTGTGTGATGTCCTGGTGGGGTAGAAATTCATTCATACGATTTGTTGACACCTTTTCGTCTTTGCAACTTTAGTTTTATACGGGCCACATGAAGAAGAGGGAATCATAGCTTATTGTAGAACCGACTCCGAGCCCAGCAGAGGTCGTGTTTAGAAAGGGACCAGCAGGTACCCATGCTGCTTGTGTCCTAAGACAAATCCTCGGAAAGGCAGAAGGTAGGTAGGTAGGTAATTGTACCCCACCAGGACATCACACAAGCGATAAACACCCTGTGACACAAAGTGGCACTATGCGGATGAGGATCACCCGTTGAGTGGTGCCTGAAACCACTTTCAGCGATTAGGCCATATCGATGGCTAGGCCATATCTAAGCCCCAGCTTTATTCAGGGAGTTCGACAGAAGCCAGGGTGGGGCTTTAAATAATTTAACAAAAATGTATCCAACATGGGGACGACATATGTTGTAACTATAAAGGCAGAAGAATAAAGAATGAAAAGGATACTCTTAATATCGCGAGAAAGGGCTCTGTTCACAAATGTTGACTAATCTCTGTGCCTTTTCTCTTCAGATCAAGTACTCCATTGTTGCTGGCACTAATGGTTCCATGCTCTTTGATGTGAATACAACAAAAGAGGAGTTCGCAGAGATCTACATCCAACAATCACTGATTGATAACGTTGGTCTCCATATCCTGACAGTCATGGCTGAAGATCAGGGGACACCACCGTTAAATTCTACTCTGAATCTATCAATATTTGTGATTGATGAGAATCAACATTATCCAATATTTGTTGACCCAGACCAGACCAAGTTCAACACGAGTGCTGGGCAGTGGCCCGAAATAAGAATACCCGAAGTAAGAGTTTTATCAAACGTTTTAGCACCATCAGGGTGTGCATAACATCCTGAGCTGAAAACAGGGCACACCACTAACATCTTGAGCCGAAAACGGGACATCCCACTAACATCTTGAGCTAGAAACGGGACACCCCACACACATCTTGAGCTAGAAACGGGACATGCAAATAATATGTTGAGCTGTAACAGGAAATCCCAAGCAATTCAGTAAACCCCCACCCCTCCGCCTCCCTCATGTATTCTATAATTTTTTATTAATATTAGTAGTAATAATAATAGTAATGATAGTAGTAATGATAGTAGTAATGATAGTATTAATATTAGTTGTAGCAGAAGTAGTAGGGTAGTAGTAGCAGCAGCAGTAGTAGGGCAACAGCAGCAGCAGCAGTAGTAGTGTAGCAGCAGCAGCAGTAGTAGTGTAGTAGTAGCAGCAGTAGTACTAGGGTAGTAGCAGCATCAGTAGTAGTATGGTAGTAGTAGCATCAGTAGTAGTAGGGTAGTAGCAGCAGCAGCAGTAGTAGGGCAACAGCAGTAGCTGCAGCAGTAGGGCAACAGCAGCAGTAGTAGTGTAGCAGCAGCAGCAGTAGTAGTAGTGCAGTAGCAGCAGCAGTAGTAGTAGGGTAGTAGCAGCAGTAGTAGTAGGAGGGTAGTAGTAGCAGCAGTAGTAGTAGTAGTAGGGTAGTAGTAGCAGCAGTAGTAGTAGTAGGGTAGCAGCAGTAGTAGTATGGTAGTAGCAGCAGCAGTAGTAGTGACAGTAGTAAAAGTCTCTACAATTTTGATAATTAATCAAGTCTCCATCTATAATTATCTGTTCTATTCTCGAGCTTTTTCCCAGATTTTGATAAAAATAGAACAATTGGCGTTTTTTGTTTTTGATTTGTTTGTTCTGGGAATCACGAAGGGACCACGGAAGACAACTAAAAAAAAAAAAACCGAACTGCTCCAGTGAAAGTTGGACGTAGGGTGAACCTAAACACCAGTGTTTTGGTTTAAAAAAACACACACACAACCACATAATTCACACACAGATGCGGCCTGGAGATTAAAAATTAATCATAAAAATATGTAATGGGTCAGATTTACCTTCACCAGAACATTTGCAAGGTATCCACCGCTGTGTAGTGGCTTGACTCTCGCCTGTGGATCGGAAGGTGATAGGTTCGGGTCCTGTCAGGTGCCAGACTTTGTTTTGTTTTTCAAAAATGGCCTTGGCTCACAGGTCGACCCAACCTTGAGTGGGTATGAGGTAGAGTCATGGGATGTTTAGGTGGCGAGCGTAATACTTAGCACATCACCCACCTAGTGCTGTTTGGTCTATAAAATATAGGTCTAGTCTTATTTACCAAATACGCCTGGAGGCGTAGAAAAGAGTCCTAGAACATTTGTACGTACGTATGTATGTATGTATGTATGTATGTATGTATGTATGTATGTATGTATGTATGTATGTATGTATGTATGTATGTATGTATGTATGTATGTATGTATGTATGTATGTATGTATGTATGTATGTATGTATGTATGTATGTATGTATGTATGTATGTATGTATGTATGTATGTATGTATGTATGTATGTATGTATGTATGTATGTATGTATGTATGTATGTATGTATGTATGTATGTATGTATGTATGTATGTATGTATGTATGTATGTATGTATGTATGTATGTATGTATGTATGTATGTATGTATGTATGTATGTATGTATGTATGTATGTATGTATGTATGTATGTATGTATGTATGTATGTATGTATGTATGTATGTATGTATGTATGTATGTATGTATGTATGTATGTATGTATGTATGTATGTATGTATGTATGTATGTATGTATGTATGTATGTATGTATGTATGTATGTATGTATGTATGTATGTATGTATGTATGTATGTATGTATGTATGTATGTATGTATGTATGTATGTATGTATGTATGTATGTATGTATGTATGTATGTATGTATGTATGTATGTATGTATGTATGTATGTATGTATGTATGTATGTATGTATGTATGTATGTATGTATGTATGTATGTATGTATGTATGTATGTATGTATGTATGTATGTATGTATGTATGTATGTATGTATGTATGTATGTATGTATGTATGTATGTATGTATGTATGTATGTATGTATGTATGTATGTATGTATGTATGTATGTATGTATGTATGTATGTATGTATGTATGTATGTATGTATGTATGTATGTATGTATGTATGTATGTATGTATGTATGTATGTAGGTAGGTAGGTACGTACGTATGTATGTATGTATGTATGTATGTACATACATACGTATGTACGTACGTACGTACGTATGCATGTATGTATGTACGTATGTATGTATGTATGTATGTATGTATGTATGTATGTATGTATGTATGTATGTATGTATGTATGTATGTATGTATGTATGTATGTATGTATGTATGTATGTATGTATGTATGTATGTATGTATGTATGTATGTATGTATGTATGTATGTATGTATGTATGTATGTATGTATGTATGTATGTATGTATGTATGTATGTATGTATGTATGTATGTATGTATGTATGTATGTATGTATGTATGTATGTATGTATGTATGTATGTATGTATGTATGTATGTATGTATGTATGTATGTATGTATGTATGTATGTATGTATGTATGTATGTATGTATGTATGTATGTATGTATGTATGTATGTATGTATGTATGTATGTATGTATGTATGTATGTATGTATGTATGTATGTATGTATGTATGTATGTATGTATGTATGTATGTATGTATGTATGTATGTATGTATGTATGTATGTATGTATGTATGTATGTATGTATGTATGTATGTATGTATGTATGTATGTATGTATGTATGTATGTATGTATGTATGTATGTATGTATGTATGTATGTATGTATGTATGTATGTATGTATGTATGTATGTATGTATGTATGTATGTATGTATGTATGTATGTATGTATGTATGTATGTATGTATGTATGTATGTATGTATGTATGTATGTATGTATGTATGTATGTATGTATGTATGTATGTATGTATGTATGTATGTATGTATGTATGTATGTATGTATGTATGTATGTATGTATGTATGTATGTATGTATGTATGTATGTATGTATGTATGTATGTATGTATGTATGTATGTATGTATGTATGTATGTATGTATGTATGTATGTATGTATGTATGTATGTATGTATGTATGTATGTATGTATGTATGTATGTATGTATGTATGTATGTATGTATGTATGTATGTATGTATGTGTATGTATGTATGTATGTATGTATGTATGTATGTATGTATGTATGTATGTATGTATGTATGTATGTATGTATGTATGTATGTATGTATGTATGTATGTATGTATGTATTTATGTATGTATGTATGTATGTATGTATGTATGTATGTATGTATGTATGTATGTATGTATGTATGTATGTATGTATGTATGTATGTATGTATGTATGTATGTATGTATGTATGTATGTATGTATGTATGTATGTATGTATGTATGTATGTATGTATGTATGTATGTATGTATGTATGTATGTATGTATGTATGTATGTATGTATGTATGTATGTATGTATGTATGTATGTATGTATGTATGTATGTATGTATGTATGTATGTATGTATGTATGTATGTATGTATGTATGTATGTATGTATGTATGTATGTATGTATGTATGTATGTATGTATGTATGTATGTATGTATGTATGTATGTATGTATGTATGTATGTATGTATGTATGTATGTATGTATGTATGTATGTATGTATGTATGTATGTATGTATGTATGTATGTATGTATGTATGTATGTATGTATGTATGTATGTATGTATGTATGTATGTATGTATGTATGTATGTATGTATGTATGTATGTATGTATGTATGTATGTATGTATGTATGTATGTATGTATGTATGTATGTATGTATGTATGTATGTATGTATGTATGTATGTATGTATGTATGTATGTATGTATGTATGTATGTATGTATGTATGTATGTATGTATGTATGTATGTATGTATGTATGTATGTATGTATGTATGTATGTATGTATGTATGTATGTATGTATGTATGTATGTATGTATGTATGTATGTATGTATGTATGTATGTATGTATGTATGTATGTATGTATGTATGCATGTATGTATGTATGTATGTATGTATGTATGTATGTATGTATGTATGTATGTATGTATGTATGTATGTATGTATGTATGTATGTATGTATGTATGTATGTATGTATGTATGTATGTATGTATGTATGTATGTATGTATGTATGTATGTATGTATGTATGTATGTATGTATGTATGTATGTATGTATGTATGTATGTATGTATGTATGTATGTATGTATGTATGTATGTATGTATGTATGTATGTATGTATGTATGTATGTATGTATGTATGTATGTATGTATGTATGTATGTATGTATGTATGTATGTATGTATGTATGTATGTATGTATGTATGTGTGTGTATGTGTGTATGTGTGTATGTGTGTATGTGTGTATGTGTGTATGTGTGTATGTGTGTATGTGTGTATGTGTGTATGTGTGTATGTGTGTATGTGTGTATGTGTGTATGTGTGTATGTGTGTATGTGTGTATGTGTGTATGTGTGTGTATGTGTGTATGTGTGTATGTGTGTATGTATGTATGTGTGTATGTGTGTATGTGTGTATGTGTGTATGTGTGTATGTGTGTATGTGTGTATGTGTGTATGTGTGTATGTGTGTATGTGTGTATGTGTGTATGTGTGTATGTGTGTATGTGTGTATGTGTGTATGTGTGTATGTGTGTATGTGTGTATGTGTGTATGTGTGTATGTGTGTATGTGTGTATGTGTGTATGTGTGTATGTGTGTATGTGTGTATGTGTGTATGTGTGTATGTGTGTATGTGTGTATGTGTGTATGTGTGTATGTGTGTATGTGTGTATGTGTGTATGTGTGTATGTGTGTATGTGTGTATGTGTGTATGTGTGTATGTGTGTATGTGTGTATGTGTGTATGTGTGTATGTGTGTATGTGTGTATGTGTGTATGTGTGTATGTGTGTATGTGTGTATGTATGTATGTATGTATGTATGTATGTATGTATGTATGTATGTATGTATGTATGTATGTATGTATGTATGTATGTATGTATGTATGTATGTATGTATGTATGTATGTATGTATGTATGTATGTATGTATGTATGTATGTATGTATGTATGTATGTATGTATGTATGTATGTATGTATGTATGTATGTATGTATGTATGTATGTATGTATGTATGTATGTATGTATGTATGTATGTATGTATGTATGTATGTATGTATGTATGTATGTATGTATGTATGTATGTATGTATGTATGTATGTATGTATGTATGTATGTATGTATGTATGTATGTATGTATGTATGTATGTATGTATGTATGTATGTATGTATGTATGTATGTATGTATGTATGTATGTATGTATGTATGTATGTATGTATGTATGTATGTATGTATGTATGTATGTATGTATGTATGTATGTATGTATGTATGTATGTATGTATGTATGTATGTATGTATGTATGTATGTATGTATGTATGTATGTATGTATGTATGTATGTATGTATGTATGTATGTATGTATGTATGTATGTATGTATGTATGTATGTATGTATGTATGTATGTATGTATGTATGTATGTATGTATGTATGTATGTATGTATGTATGTATGTATGTATGTATGTATGTATGTATGTATGTATGTATGTATGTATGTATGTATGTATGTATGTATGTATGTATGTATGTATGTATGTATGTATGTATGTATGTATGTATGTATGTATGTATGTATGTATGTATGTATGTATGTATGTATGTATGTATGTATGTATGTATGTATGTATGTATGTATGTATGTATGTATGTAGGTAGGTAGGTAGGTAGGTAGGTAGGTACGTACGTACGTATGTATGTATGTATGTATGTATGTATGTATGTATGTACATACATACGTATGTACGTACGTACGTACGTATGTATGTATGTATGTACGTATGTATGTATGTATGTACATACATACGTATGTACGTACGTACGTACGTACGTACGTACGTATGTACGTATGTACATTTACTATCCTTGCATTTTTTTCTACACGAATATATCTTGCTTTGTAGATAAAACTGCAACTGATGTGTGACAGCTGAGTATCAGTAAAAGCCGAATGTAAGACCCCTTTTAAAATAAAGTTCGTTGAATCGTTCCATCTCTCTGTGTCCAACTCATGATATGCATACGTGTTGTTTCATATCCAGGAACAACCGTTTGGGTCAGCCTTGTATACGCTGAATGCTACAGACAGGGACACAGGGGAGAACGGAAAGGTTGAATACCTTCTCAACCCCTCGAGTAACAAGGATGACGAGTACTTCACCGTGGACAGGTCCAGTGGGACACTGAGATCTGTGCGTCGGCTGGACAGAGACACCAAGGATACATATGAGGTATGGCACTGGTCAGAGAAATAGCTTGTTTGTCAGTGTTGTTGTTTAGTCAGTATTGTTGCTTACTGGGTGTTAGTGGAAGTGTATCGGTGGAAGCACTAACTCACAAAACCAGCCATATTTCTCTATTTTCCTCTTGTTAACAAATGTCTAGTAATTCATCCTGTCCATTTCTTAATGTTGTCACTTTAGGTTCATCTTTGCTCCCTTCTTCTTCTACTAACCCCAGTGTTCTTTGAAGTATGATCTTTGCAATCGAATCAGTATGTTCAATCTGTTGCCTAATCAAATATGAACCAAATGTAAAAACTGCTGAAAGATTAGTTTTGAATGAATTTATAATATGTATGTTACCATATTCAGCTATTAACTAATATGTCCTATATGTTGAAAAGCTGGACCAAAATGTGACTTATTTTGTCACTTTAAAGTGTCAACCGAGACAGATATATGTTACTACATTTCATCTGAGCTTATATGTCATACATTTCGGCAGATTCAAGTGTGAACTGACGTATCATATATTGTGCTACGATTAAAGTAACACCCAGTAGGTTGATCTGATTTGGTTCAGGAACCGACATCACAGCATTCAGGGCATTCCAAAAAGCGCTCCGTCTCCATCTTCAGCAGCCAGCGAAGAGTTCCGATACTATTTGTGCTAGTAGCTTTCTGATTAAACGTCTATCTCGCCTTTCCTCTTAGCTTCAAGCATCTGCCAGAACCTCTCGTAGCTTCCAACTGCATCAATCTCACCACACTGTGGTGATAAATCTGCTCCTCCGAACTGTACAAGCTCTACCACAAGGCACTAACCACGTCTGCCTAATCGTGCATCAGTATTCCACCAAGTTGTGCAGAGCCAGACAGTCTGTCCGCCTGTTCATTTCCCAACACACCAGCGTACCTAGTGAAACAAATCCAGACAATACTCCTCAACCATGTCCTCCGCAGCGAAGCATGCCACTCTGCACGAAGCATACCTGTCCTGATCTTCCTTAGCATGCTTTCTGTGTCAGTTACAATCACGATGTGTTTGTGTGTCGTGTTCCCTAGCCATCGGAAAGCTGCAGTGACCGCCTCCACTTCCATTCTTAAGCTGGATGTTGTGGTATCATATGCTAGGCTCTCCTGTACCAAACTTTGACCATTAACTTCTGCTAATAAACCCCAAGCACTTCTTTTGCCTCTTGACACTGAAATTACTGTGTAGATGATCAAATCTTCTGAGCGCGCATCATCTTGAATTAATTGCTGAATTTCCACCTCTGTGGCATCTGTTGGCCAGTCTCTGCATTCCCGGCTCAGTGTGATTATGACTCTACACAAGTCTGACTGTTCAGGTGGCAATTTGACCCACTCTTCTCCTCGTCTAATGTTCTCAAGGATGCAAACCTGTCTGATTGTGTCTTCTACCTGAGCCATCCATGACTTTTCTCTCATTAGCAGCTGACCCTTAACCTGACCCAGTAGGTTGACATGTTTTATATATTTTGCTAGATGAAAATATGAAACAGCATGTAATATATTTTATTAAATTCAAATGCAAACCAAAATTTAATATATTTTGCCTCATTCAAATGTAAACCAACACATGCTACAAATTCTGTGCGAACACATGTGATACATTTTGCCTGATTCCAAGGTAAACCGACAAATGCTATAGATTCATGCGTGAGCCAATCTGTGATACATTTTGCTTGATTCAAAGGCAAAGCGACAAATGCTATAGATTCATGCGTGAACATCTGACACATGTTGCTAGATTAAACTGTGAATCAACTTGTGATATATATTTGCAGATCCAAGTGACAGCAAAAGACAATGGCCAGCCTGTTGCACTGATGACACAGTTATCAGTAAGAATCATCCTACTAGACATCAATGACAACCAGCCCACCTACAAGAGAAGCGATATGCCACAAAAGCTTCAGGTTGTTGAGGAAAGCAATAATGCTGTTATTGGCCAGTTGGTTGAAGCTACAGATATAGATGAGGCTCCAAACAACATAAACTGTTATTATTTGTATGGTGCGTTTTTTTTTTTTAAATTACTTTTTTTTTTTAAATGTCTATAACTATGTCTGGTAACTGCCTTGTCATTTTTAGTGCCCGTCAGTCAGTCATTACCAGGGTCCTTAGGAAAGAGAAGATTGGTAACACTGTACCCTACCAAGCATGTCGTAAGATGCGACTCTAATTATGAGAAATTCCAGGGGGTTCCAAGTAGGACGTGTGTAAGGTCACAAGGCCAGATAACTGAGGGAAGTATTGAGCAAGAGACCAGCATTAGCACAGATGGGGCCTCACTCATTACAGCGTTTCATACAATTAGATCATACAGTTTCAAAATATATGAATTCATGTAATTGATTTAGTTGAGAAATGTGAATGTGTTTAAAGTATTGTATTTCATCTAGATGATATTTGTGGACATACAAAAAGGTTTCCAAAAGCATCTTGAGACACTGCATAAAGAATTTGAAAATGGCGGAATCTATTAAATTTAGAATCTTGTTACACAATTTTGGAGTCATAGTGTTTTCTGACACTTTATTACCAGTCCATTACTTATCACAGAAACTGACATCTACACAACAAAAATACAATATATTTTAAAAAGGAGCATTAGCTTTAATTGACAACCACCTGCCAGATGTAATGTCTAGACTGTAAAAGTGTTTAACAAAAAACAGTATGATTGACTGACTGACTTTCTACCCCACCAGGACATCACACAAGCGATAAACACCCGATGTCACAATGTGCCACCATGTGGGTGAGGATCACCGTGGCGAGGTCCCAGAAACCACTTTCAGCCTTTAGGCCATATGCGGTCCATGGCAAAGCCAGAGTAGGGCTTCAAATAACGAAACATTTCATCCTAAAAGGGATTGGAAATATAAACTTGACCCCCCCCCCCCCCCCCCCCCCAAAAAAAAAACAGTAAACTGGAAGGAACGGTTATATTTTTTTCTGCCCTAGAAAATTCGACATGAACAAACTGACATAAATGCTATAAATGTATGGGATCTGTTAATGAATATGATACAGAAACAAAGAAAAGTAGGCACAGAAGGACAGAGATACAGAGAACTAAGGTGATGCAGGAGAAGAGCGGAGCAAGAAAGATACAAAGCAGGAGAGAATGAGAAGAGAGAATAAGAAACAAACAGAAGGGCACAAAGCAGAACGAGAGAGAAAGATATATATATATATATATATATATATATATATATATATATATATATATATATATATATATATATATATATATATATATATATATATATATATATATATATATATATATATATATATATGCATATATATATATATATGCATATATGTTGTGAGATAGCGAGACAGAAACATAGGGACTGAGGACACGGAGAGATAGAAAAATAAAGATCATAGACACAGCAATAGAGAATAAGAGGAAAGAACTTAAGATTCATGAAACGAGAGACAGACAGAGGATGAGAGAGGTACAAATATACATAAAAGCAAGAAAGGCAGAGGAAAAGAGCGAGGCATAGAGAAACAGAAACATATAGAAAGAGAACGAGAAAGAACTAACGAATGAACGAACGAACGAACAAACAAACTTTATTTTCAAAGGGTTAAGAATTGGGTACGCAGGTCCGTCTAACATTCTGCCCTTCCACACAGCTCCTTGCATACAATTATTCATTTGTACCTCATTTGATAGTTAATAATAATAATAGGAAGAAGAAGAATTAAAAAGAAAAGAGTATAGTAATAACCCCTAAAAATGATATAAGTCTTACAGATGCATAATATAAACATCATCACCATCAATAAGATATTAGTTACAAACACTGGAATGCGTTCGACTGGCATCTTCATTTTTTAAACAATAATAATGTTCAGTTTTTAAACAAAAACAAAAAAATTAATAAATAAATCAATAAGACATTGCAGACAGAGAGACAGACAGCTAGATAAACAGATAGATACACAGACATACGACACACAGACATACATACAGACAGACAGACAGATTGACGGACGGTTAAATGGATGGATGAATAAATCATCATCATCATCATGTAGCAGGTCTTTTGCAGAAAGTTGCTCTTATCAGAGTCTGCCTGAAATAAACACGGTCTCTCGCCAGCTCTCCCGCCTCATGTACTTTCATACTCAAGGAGTCACTTATATCCTGTGCCCATCTTCGTGTCGGTCGGCCCCTGTCTCTCCTTCTTGGTACCATGCCTTCTGCCATAATTTTTTTCCAATCCGTCGTGGCGCTTGATATGACAAAAATATTTCAGCTTCCGAGACAGGATGCTGTTTATTAGTCAATCTTCTTTGGTGTTCAAGAAAAAAAAAAGTTTACAACATCTGTGTCTTAATTACAAATGCTGGAATGTGTTCCAATTATACTGACATTACTGAACGTTTTAAAGAGTATAGGATGGATAAATAGGGACACTTTACAGTGGCTTGAAATAATATAGAGCTTTGACGTTCATCCACAGGAGGAGATCATTTGTCAGGTCTACAGCTGGATAAAAAGACCAGAAGCCTGTCACTGACAACAAAAGTGGACAGAGAAATCACATCTGAATTAAACATCGTCATTAAAGCATCAGAGAACTGCAATCTTACAAGTGACTTTTTCATCTCGAACCCCAGCAAAGCTAATGCAACATTCACTGCTGCTCTAGCTGATGATCCACCACCAGAGTATAACTCCTCCGATGACTCTTTGCTGTGGGTCAAGGTGGCAGTAATTGACATTAATGACAACCCTCCAAAGTTTACCAGCCCAGAATTGGCAGCAAGTGTCATTTACGATGTTGAAATTGGAACTAAGGTTATGTCTTTGGCTGTGAGTTGGATTACTGATGTTTAATTCTTTGATTATTTGTATAATTATCTGCTCATTGTAAGTCATGTTAGGCAGTCTAATCATCTTAGACAGTATTTGCAAAGATAAAAGGAAGAATTTAAAGGTAATAAATAATGAATAATACAACTACCAGTAATGCTAGCCCTGGTGAAAATTATGAAGACATTGAAAGAAGAGTGTACGAGAGGAGAATCTACAAGAATACTTGGTTATACAGATGACATTGACATCGTTGGAGACAATGAAATAGAGACTGTTAAAACTGACTCTCTTAAAAAAAATCAGCTCAGAAAATGGGACTAGATATCAATCAAGATAAGACAGAATACATGATAACAACGAGACAGGGAAAGAACATAAACTCCGACCACATACAAGTTGATAATATGAAAATCAAACGAACGGAAACATATAAGTACCTGGATGCTAACTTAAACTGCTCCAACATGCTGAGAGAAGAAATACAATCTAGAATACAATTAGGAAATAAAGTATGCTATGCCCTTTAACATTTGCTAAAGCCAAAGTGTCTGTCTCGCAACATCAAGATAAAAAAATATAAAACGTTGATAAGACCAGTCGTTTTATATGGCTCTGAAACTTAGAGCACAACAAAAAGAGATGAAGCCCTTTTACAGGTTTTCGAAAACAGTCTTACGACAAATCTTTGACCCATCAAAGATGCAAACAGCTGGGAATGGAGTGTGAGAAGCAACAAAAATCATAATCTGTTTAAATCGCCATTAATCACTGACATCAGGAAAGCGTACAGACTGAAATGGTTGGGGCATATTGAGAGAATGTCAAATGACAGAGAAATAAAAACTGCATACACAAGGGAAAGGAATGGTCATAGACCCCGAGGCAGACCAAGAAGATGATGAACAGATAATGTCCAGACAGAAATGCAAACACTTGGTGTCACCAATTGGAAATAGAAGTCCAACCAGAGAGATGAGTGGAGGCAGGTGAAGTCTGCAGCAATGAACCTCAAGGGCTCGGAATGCCGAAGAAGAAGAAGAAGAAGAAGAAGATCAGAAATGCTAGGGTGGTTTGAAAATTAATGCCTCCAACAACATAACTTTGTTAATATATGAAATTGACACGCAAAATACACACTTTCTGAAAGCTTCGGATGTCCTTTGAATAACATATCATTATTTTTCAATGTAGTCACTACCACGTTCCACACACATACACTGACGCGCGCGCGCCAGCGTGCTTCCTGTTTTCAAAACTCGTCCAGAAAATGAACTAAATTTTTTTCCCCCATAAATCCAGGAACTCACAACTGCTTTTACATCTTCATCACAAGCGTTTCTGTTTTCCTTGAGATGTTCTTCGGGCTTTGGGAACAGGAAGCAGTCACAAGGTGCCAAACCCGGATTATATGCTGGATGCACCAAAATGCCGTCAGAGTTGAGACGCTGCCCTTGTTTGCCTATTCGTGTGTGGGCGAGCATCTCTGTGTAGAAGAACTGCGTATTTTCCAGCGAGTAATCCACACACAATTTTTAAACCAGGCAACACTATCAACTCTGAGATCGCTATGTAGAAACGTTGCAGAATCTACGAGCAAGATTGCTGTGTGTTCTTCCTGGCAAACATGCAGTTCTTCAACATGATAATGCGTGCCTAAACACAAACAGATTAACAACAGCAGCATTTAAACCTCTCAACTCTGACGACATTTTGGTGCATCCAGTTTATAGATATGATTTGACGCCTTGTGCTGGTGTGCATTCCTGGCAAACACGCAGTTCTTCAACATGATAATGCCTACCTATACACAAATAGATAAAGAAGAAAGAAGAAAAAGAAAGAAGAGGAGGCGAAGAAGGAAAAGAAGCAACAGCAGCAGCAGTGCAGCAAAATTAAAAAAAAAATTTTTTTTTTATAATAAAATGATAACTTGATAACTAGATATTTGCTGCAAAATTATGTAATGAATGCGTAGCAGAAAAACTTATCTTGCCCTATACCAGCATCATCAGAAGACAAACTCCATGAGGATATCAGCAGGATCGCTCAGATAACTGTGTTCTGTGAATATAGTCAAGTTGACTTGAAGTAAAGGGTCATTTTCCCCGCCTGTTGAAATATTGTACATCTAGTGCTAGGACGTATATTTTATAGACCAATCGTCACTCGCTGGATGATGTGGTCAACAACACTTGGTTCCCATTCAAGGTTAGGTCAACACTGGAGCCAAGGTCATTAGAAAATACATTTATTACCCCGTTCAAATTTTAAACCTCCACCCTTCAGCTCTGTAGACGAGAGTCTAGCAGCGACTCCACATCCCTAACTGATATTATTCAAACACTATAACTGTTTAATCCCTAGGACAATATAACAGACAAGGACACACCAGACAACAGAAAGAACAAGTTCAGACTTCTTAACTTCACCTCCGTTCTGCAAGCTGGGGACGCCATTGACACATCAAAACCGCCATTTGTTGTCTCTAACAACGGCAGTGTCAACACCAACATGTTGTTTCAGAAAGAAATCCTCGGTCATTTCCTTTTGTACGTGCTGACGTATGATGATGATGGTTTGAATGACACGGCTAGTATCAAAGTAAGCCTGGTATTCGTGTATTTGTATTGATCATCATATGTATTTTGTTTATTTATAAATACTACCACCATATCTGATAGCAGTGACAATTGGCGATTATTGGTCGCTTTCTTAACCGGTCGATCTACCGAGCGAGCGATCTACTAACTAAACAACCAACTAGCTAATCAGTTAGTCAAACAGTTAATCAAACAACTATAATAAAACAATCTGGTGCTGTCTCCAAAACAAGAACTGTTGGCAGTAAATCTCATCTTTCTACTTTCTCTGCACCTCTCTGTCTCTCTCTCTCTCTCTCTCTCTCTCTCTCTCTCTCTCTGTCTCTCTCTCTCTCTATCTCTCTCTCTCTCTTCTGCTATATTGTTGAATCTGCAAGATGCATTTTTAATATTATCCTCTCACTTATTATGTGTTTATGTTATGGTGAATCTTTAGACCGTTCAAAGATGCAAACAGCGGGAAGAAATAACAACGAACTTCCTATTGTGTGTAAATCACATACGGAGTGAATGGCATATGACAGAGAAGAAACAACTGTACACAAGGGAGTTAAATGGTCGTAGACCACGAGGCAGACCAAGAAGACAGTGGAGAGATAGTTTACAGGCACATCTACAAACATTTGAGTCACCAACTCTAAAGAATAGGTCAATCACAAAAATGTTCCTAGGCGAGTGATAACTGCAGCAACGAATCTCGGGAAGAATACATTATCTGACTCCATAATTTGTTAATTTGCAACTGGAAAGCATTGTAATAAATTTTACTTATCATTAATTTCTCTGCTACTGCTACTTATTTTTTCTAATTTATGAAATGTTATTTATAGGTGACCCTAATTTCGTCCAGTGATCGCTTGCTGTTAGTATTTAACAAACAAGTCAACGAAGTGGAACAGCTGAAGGCTAACATTGTCAAGTAAGTCATTATAAAGTTTTTTGTCTACTGGTGTGATCGATCACTTCTCGGGGCATCTCTGGATCTCCACTATAATATATCATTTCGTGGACCCACACCTTCCGTGTCACTACAAAAGTCCTACTATGCTACAACCACGACCACAACCCTTCGTCACACCATCTCATGGCTAATAATGGCAGCCTCCATGTTGGTTTGCGAGACCTCTGATACGTCTGGTACACTGCTCGTTAGTGGATATGCAGATCTTCACTCATACATCTTACATTCTTAATATCGACGCTAACCTATTACCCCTTAAAATTCTGAATTTGCTTCCTCTCCGTATGTCCACATCCTCTCTCTCTCTCTCTCTCTCTCTCTCCCCCCCCCCCCCAACTTTCTCTCTAATGACATTAACAGTTTAACGGTAATTGTCAATGTTTGCACCACGTTGTCGACAGGCAGCTCTCAGACATACTCAACATTAACATAATGATGGACAAGATTCAAGGCCACGTCAGCCTGGGCGGAACCAGCGACCCTAGCAAGTAATTACATTGTTTTTCTTATCTTATTACTACCAATGCCATCACCATCCCCATCACGATTGCTACTACTGCTACAACAACAATATCAACGACGATGACAACAAAAACAACAAATACTACTACTACTGCTGCTGCAACAACAGCAACAACTGCTGCTGTTGCTGCTGCTACTACTACTGCTGCTGCTACTATTACTACTAATATCACTACGACTACCACCACCACAACCACCACCACCATTACTACTAATACCATTTCTTCTTCTTCTTCTTTTTCTTCTTTTTCTTCTTTTAGTCCATGCGATGTGGTATTCGAGGCCATGTACATCGACAACCTTCTGTCGCTATACTTTCAATATATTTGTCCTTGCCATAAGGTCAAAGTGTCCAATATCTTCTCTCTCTCTCTCTCTCTCTCTCTCTCTCTCTCTCTCTCTCTCTCTCTCCCTCTCTCTCACTTGGTTTTACCCTGCTGCCCCTTCCCCCTGCTAATTGTGCCACCGTCACAATATACTCCAGTTTTCACCTTTTCATAAAGAATGTATGGTGTCAGTTTCTTGTGTGGGTAATCAATTTCCTTTGCGAATTTCAAGACATCTTCATTGAACTTTTTATCTGTCCTTAGTGTTCTTATTATTTGTCTACAAAACCACATCTTAACCACTTAACGTAATTGCTCACATATTAATTAACAGACAGTCAACTCGTGTGATTCAATTGTGTAAACTAACCTGGAATTTAATTGGCTGAAGTTGTATGTGTTGGGTTAAAAGGTGTAGAAATCGTGACGTAGCTGCAAAACCACAACACAAGAAACCCAGAAGAAGAAGAAGTTAAAGTCAAATATTTGATTGATACTAGTTTAAAAGCAGAATTTAATTAACAAAGGTTCAGTATTCTGGATACTTTACTTTTTCAATGTCAGTCTGTATTTAGTTTGACTCTGTTTGTCCTGGACTTAGAAAATCTATCGAGCCCTAACATGTTACACAAGAAACATGCAACAAAACGAGGCTAAAGGAACAATTTTGATAGAAAAACTGGATGAAAACAATATCTGAGACAGATGAGAGCCTGCACATCGTACTATCATTGCATTAGCCAGTGAACTATGGTGAGTTTCACGGTACAGAAAAGGATAATTAAATTAAAAAAAAAAAGATTGTTGATTTTCCCTGTGTGGATTTCGGGTTCCCGTTGTAACGAAATCAAGAACAATCCCTGGGCATCCACAGCAGGCATGTTTTCCAGTCCGCCGTGGCGCTTGAAATGACCAAAATATTTCAGCTTCCGAGACAGGATGCTGTTTATTAGCCAATCTTCCTTGATGTTCAGATCTTTCAAGATGTCAGTATTTCTCCTCTTCTTTGTCCAAGATATTCTGAGAATCTTTCTACAGCATTTCAGCTCAAACGCCCCTATCTCTTTCTTAAGGACTGAGAGATAGTCCACGATTCACATCCGTCTGTAGCCACAGGGAAAATGCATGCTCTCAAAATTTTAATTTTGATCTCCTTGCTGGTACTTAACCATAGACTTTAAAGGCTGTTCAATCTTTTTATTGCTATGGCCATCCTCCTTTTAATTTCTGTCAGTGTCCATTGCTGTTTATTATAGAGTCTAGATATAAGTAAAACTACTACTACAGTTAAATTTTTCAATTCAAATTTCAAATCAGTACTTTTCCATGGAGCGGAAACATGGAAAACAACTAAATGAGTTACCAAATAAACTACAAACACTCGCTAACTGGTGCCTGCACATAATAGAAGGAATTAAATGACACAGTAGAATCACTAATGTAGAGCTTTGTGAGAGAACTAGACAGGTATCAGTGGACCAGGAGGTGAAGGAAAGACGCTGGCGTTGGACAGGACACACATTGCGAAAACCTGAGAACAATATAGCTAGAATTTCTTTGCACGGGCACGCACAAATACATAGAAATAAAAGCGGACCTAATGAAGAAGGTGAGCTAGAGAGTCAGGTTTAAAAGATGAAAAGACACGGGGAGGGTTGCATGCGATAAGTGAGGATAAAACGACCAGGCCGGAGTTGGCTGAGCACCTATGCTCCACTGGGAGATGGAAGGCAGAAGAAGTGTTAAATTAATTCACGTATTGATTTTAAAGTGAGTTTACTTAATGAAAATGACATGAGTTTAACCGTGTATGTTTATATTTTCAGAACCGATGCTTACATACACGGACGATACCGCAGTAATGGAAAGATAGTTCCAGCCACAGAGCTGAGACGGTTAGTACCTTGTTATGTGTGTGGTTTCCGGGTAAGGACACCCCGGTCAATAAATGCCTGCAGAAGTCAGATGTGTCGGCCGAAAGGTGCAGATATCGCAGCCATGCTGTTAACAAGTACAACACAATTACATCTTCGAATGAACGCAGAAGAAAAAGTAATGTGGATTAATTGACCCCAAAGTCCTCCACCCTTCCCATTTCTCAGGTGCATCAATAATATCTGCATGATCCATAGGCTGACTGTCGATAGTGATAGCGGATCCAGCCAACCTATCAGCTCTTTCATTTCCATCGACGCCCGCCTATCCCGGAACGAAAATAAAGGTGGCTCCAGCGGACTTCTATAATAATTCCAAGCCTTCGCACCAAACCTTCTTGATCCTTCCGGATCATACTCACTGAAATACTGAGTACATGCGCGGGTGTAGTTTTGTGTTTTGAGTCACGCGAACGCTTGCGTTACTGCAATCACCTCTATCGTCAAGCTGCTGATTGTCATGGAGGCGCAGTTGGCTTCTTTGTTCTACCTGCTGCGCGTGCTGTGAACGCATGTGTGCTTCTTTGTTGGGTTTTTTCGACGGCGGTGAGCATTTTAGAAAAAGACCGTTTGCTCGATTTTTAGATAATGTTAAGAGAGGTGTCCCGTGGAAGAGAAAGGGGCATCCTCTCGTAACTGTCTCATAGTTACCAGTAATAAGATCAGTGCGGTGCAAAGCGCTATTGACGATAGCATAAGTACTGACAGGACAGCATGGAATCTTAAAAGTTCTTCAAAAATATATAATATAATAATCAAAAACCGACAATGTATTGATCGGCTTTCATAGAAAGAAATAAGGCATATTGGACAACTTAAAAATCGAAAGCTATAGTTACCGTGCCGGGTAGCGAACATGTCACCCCCCTAATGACGTGTACGCGTCGCTAAAAGAAACAAACGCACTAAGATACATGACCAGCTATGTACCCCTGAAAAGTAGGCTGTCTTTATTGGCCTTGTCTAAAGTAAGCTTGAAATCCACAACTATCGAATACGAACAGAATTCATTTCAGACCATTGAGATGACACTGTAGGTTACAGGTATTGATATTAATCAAGCATAGGTCGAATTACATACATAACAATTATAAACGTATCGGACCGTAACGCTGTGCCACTTCGATGTTTTGAGACAAATTCCGGCTAGTTGGTCATGCCTTGGCACATGAAGCTAACACGTTATTTGGAGATGACAGGTTCGATTCCCGGCACAGTAACTATAGATTTCGATTGTTACGTTGTCTAACGTTGTCTTTCTTTCTACTTCTTTCACTGAATGCCGATCTATACATTTTCTATTTATTTCACATCACAGCCTTGGTCGTGAACTGAACTAACTTTTTATAAACGAAAGTTAGTTTGTGTAACCGGTCCACCAGTTTGCTCCTATTTTAAGAGAGTTAAAGCCAACATGCATGTGGCCTGCAACCCTCAGGTGCAAGATCCTCCTCCGCTACACTGCGATAAAAAAAGGTGCTGTATCTAGACAGAAACTCTATTTTAAAAAATTAAAAAAATTAAAGCTAGAATTACAAGTAGATTGGGAGCAGCCGTGATGTAGCGGTTAGGTACTCGCCTGTGGATCTTAAGGTTGTGGGGTCAAATCCGAAAGTCGCTAGACTTTCTTTTCAGAAATTACCTTGGCTTCCAGGGCGACCTAGCTTTAAATGTCTATAAGGTAAAGTCCTGGGAAGTAAAGGCGGTTGGCGTGATGTTGACCGCATCATTCACCTAGTGCTGACTGGTCTACAGGTATGGTTCTACTACTATATGCTTATTACGTAGAAAGGGGTCCTTTACATTCAAGCACATACTCGTACTTTCATTGCAAGTTATGTCCCTTTCACAGGCTAATTGACTTGAGCTTGGACGCTACCGGCTTGTTGAATTCAAATGGTGTCATTGAAACGCAGGTTTGTAATTTGTGTTTTTGTTGTGGTTTTTGTTGTACATACTTTTGATTGCCAACGAATGAATGAACGAGCGAACGAATTAATGAATGATGCATGACTAAATCATTGACTGAATTCCTCATTTGTGTTTCTGTGACCTGTTTTGGGGAAAAATAATTGTTTTTCAATCTCTCAGCAAGAACACGACGCTGCCGACTTGACAGAATGAAGGCTGCACACTCCCATCAGCGCCGCTGTCAAACTGGACTACAAACACCCGAGCCCATACTGCAGAATTACCCCTGACAACAAAATCTGCAAAACACACACACACACACACACACGCACACACACACACACACACACACACACACACACACACATGGTCAGAGGGAAGAGACACACAGGACAAACTTTGGGGGTAACCCTTAGAGGTTTGCTGCTGACGTGCAGTTTCATGGATGCAACACAACTGATAACCTGCGCATATGAAACAGATTGCAAAAAAATAAAATAATAATAATAAGAAGAATATCTTAGCACTATTGTAGGTACAGCTGTTGAAAATTATGGGATTGAATAGTACCTTAAGAAGCTAGTTTGAAAATTTAAATATCTAGAAAGCATATTCTCCGAGTACACGAGAATAGATCAGGAAAAATAAGCCGGTACACTTACATACCAACAGACGCCGTTATTAAGACATTCAAACACAAATCTGACCTCTAAGAAACAGATTATAGTCAGCATATTTCATTCTGTGCTACCAGTGCAAAACTTGGACATTATCAAAGGCTAACCTACGCGAAATTAACACGTGTAAAATGAGATGCCCGACTAAATCATCTAACTTATCCATCCCAGACGAGATGAGAAATTATATCAGCAGTCAGACTATGGAAACAACACCATGCGCCAATCTCATTGAGAAACAGATAGTCAAATGATTTGGTAATCTCGCTAGAATGCAACCACAACAACACCATGCGCCAATCTCATTGAGAAACAGGTAGTCAAATGATTTGGTCATCTCGCTAGAATGCAACCACAACAACCAGGAACGCGGACGTTACAGGTGAGAAGATCTGATATTTAAGGCAGAGGTCGCCCTAGGAAAATATGGAATAAAAATATAAAAGAACTTCTATATCGACACATCGTGACAAGAGCCTTTGCTGCCCGTCAAGCAGTGGCTCGCAAACTGTTCCTCCCCTTGACGCTTAATTGCAAAATGGAACTTGATGAAGACAATGACACATCCTAATCTGGGACATTTGACCTTGGGGCATGTTCCGTTCCCGTCGCCTTTATTTTGTAGGCAGTTGCCAGGAAATTATCTGGCATTTAACTTTATTGGTTAGGTCCAGGAAATTATCTGGCATTTAACTTTATTGGTTAGGTCCAGGAAATTATCTGGCATTTAACTTTATTGGTTAGGTCCAGGAAATTATCTGGCATTTAACTTTATTGGTTAGGTCCAGGAAATTATCTGGCATTTAACTTTATTAGTTAGGTCCAGGAAATTATCTGGCATTTAACTTTATTGGTTAGGTCCAGGAAATTATCTGGCATTTAACTTTATTGGTTAGGTCCAGGAAATTATCTGGCATTTAACTTTATTAGTTAGGTCCAGGAAATTATCTGGCATTTAACTTTATTGGTTAGGTCCAGGAAATTATCTGGCATTTAACTTTATTGGTTAGGTCCACCCCAGAGATGCACTTCAGCTGCCATCTATCTCCTAATGGAGAATAGGCTGTTACCTAACTCATTCCATGGCCTCTTTTTCTTTGCCTTCTTATGCAGGTAACCCAATGTCCTCTTTATCTTCTTAATTTTACTCTCTAGTTGCCTTCTTCATGCACTTTTAGTTTGCCTTTATTCTTTTGACATCGTGGATTCCATTGCAAAGACATGTGTGGGTTCCAGTGCAATGACATTCTAATTATATTGTAATTATTTTTTTTTTTTTCTTAACATGCGTTTTATTTAACGTCAGCGTCTGTTGCTCGCCTTTCCTCTTGTTTAGTTTTGATCTGAAGCTCTACATTAGTGATTCGCTATAACATACTACTCAATTCTCTATTCTACAACGGGACCAGTTATGAAATGTTTGAAGCTTATTAGTAAATCTTTACTTGTTCACCATGTTTCAGCCCCAAAGACGTACTGTTTAAAAAAAAATCCTGCTACTTCTGGGGATTGAACCAGGACCTTTGCCTTGACAGGCCAATGAACTAGCCGATGCCACCGCTGATTAAACAGTGTAAAAACTGTATAAAATAGACAACCTCCTTTATACCCACAAGGATATTGGATACTAATGCTTTCATCGATATTGTTAGACCAACTGGCATTAATTAGATATTGGTGAACTGGGAGGGGGGGGGGGGGGGGGGGGGGGTTTATGTTCACTTCTACTGTTTTTTTTTTTCAGTTTCAGCATATGTCAGTAAAGATCGCAGAACCACTAAAGGACTGGAACGAAAGTTAAATGTATTGGAAACCAAATGCCTGGGAAAATGTTGAACATAAAATGGAATAAATTTAAGAGGGGCGAAGCAGTAAGAGAAATGGCCGGGAAACCTCGAGTATCAACAGTTATAAGACAGAGAAGATGGTACTGTATTTAACGTATTCTGAGAAGAGACGTCAAGAGTCGCCAATCAGGCACTGAAATGGGAAATAGATGGATAGAAAAAAAGAGGACGTCCAAGAGAAACCCATAGGCGATGGGAGAAAGTTGTTAAGAGATAGTTGATGAGAGATAGTTGATACGAGATAGCTGATGAGAGACAGTTGATGATCGATAGTTCATGAGGGTTAGTTGATGAGAGATAGTTGATGAGAGATAGTTGATGTGAGATTGTTGATGAGATATAGTTGATGAGATATAGTTGATGAGAGATAGTTGATGAGGGATAGTTGATGAGAGATTGTTGATGAGGGATAGTTGATGAGAGATAGTTGATGTGAGATTGTTGATGAGATATAGTTGATGAGATATAGTTGATGAGAGATAGTTGATGAGAGATAGTTGATGAGAGATAGTTGATGAGAGATTGTTGATGAGAGATTGTTGATGAGGGATAGTTGATGAGGGATAGTTGATGAGAGATAGTTGATGAGAGATAGTTGATGAGAGATAGTTTATGAGGGATAGTTGGGGAGATATAGTTGACGAGAGATAGTTTATGAGAGATAGTGAGCTATAGTTGATGAGAGATAGTTGATGAGAGATAGGTGATGAGGGATAGTTGATGAGGGATAGTTAATGAGGGATAGTTGATGAGAGATAGTTGATGAGAGATAGTTGATGAGGGATAGTTAATGAGGGATAGCTAATGAGAGATAGTTGATGAGGAATAGTTGATGAGAGATAGTTGATGAGAGATAGTTGATGAGAGATAGTTGATGAGAGATAGCTAATGAGAGATAGTTGATGAGGAATAGTTGATGAGAGATAGTTGGTGAGAGATAGTTGATGAGAGATAGTTGATGAGAGATAGTTGGTGATGGATAGTTAATGAGGGATAGTTGATGAGAGATAGTTGATCAGAGATAGTTAGTGAGGGATAGTTGATGAGAGATAGTTGTTGAGGGATAGTTGATGAGAGATAGTTGATGAGGGATAGATGATGAGAGATAGTTGATGAGAGATAGTTGATGAGAGGTAGTTGATGAGGAATATTTGATGAGAGATAGTTGATGAGAGATAGTTGATGAGAGATAGTTGATGAGGGATAGTTAATGAGGGATAGTTGATGAGAGATAGATGATCAGAGATAGTTAGTGAGGGATAGTGTATGAGAGATAGTTGTTGAGGGATAGTTGATGAGAGATAGTTGATGAGGGATAGATGATGAGAGATAGTTGATGAGAGATAGTTGATGAGAGGTAGTTGATGAGAGATAGTTGTTGAGGGATAGTTGATGAGATATAGTTGATGAGGGATAGATGATGAGAGATAGTTGATGAGAGATAGTTGATGAGAGGTAGTTGATGAGAGATAGTTGATGAGGGATAGTTGATGAGAGATAGTTGATGAGGAATGGTTGATGAGAGAAGCCAGTGGTACTGAACTAGATCCGATCCATGATATCCAAGTGAATGCACAGGATAGAACTAATAAACAAACAGACTGCCAGCCCTCTGTGACACTTAATGGCAAAGCAGGACAGTGAATGAATGAATGAATGAATGAATGAATGAATGAATGAATGAATGAATGAATGAATGAATGAATGAATGAATGAATGAATAATTGAATGAATGAATGAATGAATGAATGAATGAATGAATGAATGAATGAATGAATGAATGAATGAATGAATGAATGAATGAATGAATGAATGAATGACGTGGGTGATACCACTCTGACCACCTTAAAAATAAAATTAGTTTATACTTTACAGCCCGTTGAAGAACCAACCCAGCATTGTTCCGCTGGTGTAGTTTTTCTAGCAAATTTTACGTTCAATGGTTTGCCATTGCTGACTGAACGGTCAGCTCTCGGTCCTTCTGTCGAAACAAACCGTCTGCAGCTGAGATCGAAGCTGGCACCCCGGCATTACGAAGCGCGTTCACAACGCCTAAGCCACAGACACCGACGACCTAATGAAGCACACAAACTGAAAGCGACTGGCAATAGATTGTGCAATGTATTGTTTGTGCCCGCATCATTTAATTGATTACGGGCAAACATTGTTTTGGATATATTCTTAGTTAATTCGCGTCAGTATGGTAACATTGTCTTGTTTTTCTATTATTTGTTGCAGACAATGGTGGGAGATAAGCCAGGAGATCCAAAGGAAGAGTTACAGAAGGTCTTTATTATTGTAGCAGTGATACTGGCGGTGATTGTGGTGTCACTGTTCTTGGTCCTCTTGTATATGATCAATTTGTGAGTAGTTTCTAAAATTCTGTTCTCCACTGTGTGGGTTTGGGGAACTTTGGTTGTGAGGGGATTGGGGGGGGGGGGGGGGGATGGATCTACTTCCCCTTAACAAGCAAGTCGTAAAGACTGACGAATTAGGGACTTGCTGAAACAGGATGTTTTGAATCAAAAGATATGGATATCACAGGGTAGCTGTAAAGCACAACACAATGTGCTAGCTGCTTTTTTTAAGGTCGAACGAAAAAGAAAAAGAAGATGAAGAAGAAGATGAAGAAGAAGAAGCTTTAATGCAGGTTCATAAAATTACGTTTTCTTTTAAAACTCAAATAAGTTTTGTCTTATCTACATTTTTCTTTTACCTCTTTAAGTTCTAATCAATGTATGTGAAATTGTATCAGTGACTAAAATTTTTACTAGAAAAAAATAATAATGAAAAAAACAATATATATACAAAAAAAAAAAAAAAAAAAAGACATTACAGAAAATACTGTGAAGATGAAAATAAAATAATAATATTGATACACTTTAATGCACAGAAAAAAAAATGCTACTTCTGCTTTTGTTTTTATTTATTCTATTCAGTAGTCTTCTTTGACTTTGAATAAAATATATTACTAACAATATGTGTATAAACTGGGTACACAGAACACTGATCGGTATCTGTGCAAGCCATAAGGAACATGTTATAACCTTGAAAACTAACTGACAAATTAGGTAACTGGCAAATTTGATAACTGGCTTATTTGATAACTGGCAAATTTGATAAGTGGCAAATTTGATAAGTGGCAAATTTGATAATGGAAGAGCAAGCAAAAGATAGAGAGTCAAACATGATGTAATCACAAACAAGAACCCTGCCTAGATTTTCGTGGCCATTTGGAACTGTGAACTTATTGCTAAATATGACAACAAGCGCATGTTTTTGTTGATGAGCTAGTGGGAAGCGAAAAAGGGAGTAACAAGAGTAGGAGACGAAATAATAATTGTGGTTAGGACAATAAGTAGTTTCCCGCTGGACTGCAAAAACAGGAAAGGTAAAGACAAGACAAAGGTTCCTGTGCAGGAACCATTAAATATTACTCATGGCTCAGGCGACGAATTACACAACAACAACTACAACATTAAACTACATAAGCAGCGCCTAGACAGACAAGGTGCAAGAACTACAAGTCCTATTCTGAATCAAACAAATGGAATATTTCATCATTTCAACATTTTTTTTTTTTTTTTTTTTGAATACAAAGCTAGCGTGCTTCACAGATAACAGTTACATTAATAATCAACAAGTTGTTCGAACAGACCATGTGCTATACACTCTAGCCAACAAAGATGAGAGTTTGCCTCTATCGACCTCCAGTCAAAAATCGTCGAGCGAGGATGCACATTGAAATCTAGATCTAAAGCAATCTCACTACTGAACGTACCGCCACAACACGAAACCAGTGAGCCAATCTATCTTTCGACTCAGTTCTCCCTGAACCTACTCAGGACTACATGTTTTTTGTCTCACCGCCACATACCCAAGAAACCGTTTTCTTCCGTTCCGTTTGGGAAAAAAAAAAAAAAAACTTAACCACGTAGCCCGTTTTCTGCTGCGCTGGGCCTTATATAAATTGTTTGACTCCTGGCCACTTCCAGTGAGTTCCGATATGCAAACCTGTCAGTTTGAATTCGCAAGTGTAGCTAAACCAAAGTTGTCAAAACAGGCTAAAATCCTATACATACTTGCCTGTTACATCTATTAGAAAAAAAAAAAAAAAAAAGGGAAAAAATTTGCAGAAGCTATAAAGAGACTGTTTTCTTGTCCAAATCTTCCAATAAAATTTTACGGATCATCCGTCTGTTGGTTATTCACATCAAATTTAGTGCACACAGATACATTTATTCGTTTTACAATTTTGACAATAAGTTCCTAATTATGAAATTAAAAGTCCCAGTCTAGCTTTATCTCCATTGGTTTCCACGCCAGTTTTTACTTTGTGAATACCACTTGACTATCTGTGCATAAGATAAAAATAATTACGATAAACTTGTCTCATAAATTAAACTGTCTTAGTAGCACGTTTCCGAGTGTAAAATTTTTTTTAACCTTGTGTTCCATGTCACATAAGTTTTCCTAAAAAAGCAGGTTACTTGTCTGTTGACCGGGCAGCCAGATCATTGATAAGTAGTACTTGTATGGATGGCATGCTTTGCGTCAAGGTTGGCACTTTTTTTTGGGTGAAAATAAAATGTGTCTCAGTATTCAAATGTCAGTCAGTGATACATTTACAAACAAAGCTACTTAATCGACGAAGCGTTCTCAGTGCACACGGAGCCAGTCAGTCCATTCGTGCTCAGATCCCAGGCTCGGTATATCTCTCAGCGTGATTGGGCTGCAAATATTACCACATATTTGTTCTGCACCATTTGGTGTTCAGTAGATGCATGACAAGATAGATGTTTTAAGGATCCTTTGGGATCGAGTAAACGGTGCAGCGACACAAAGAGATCATCAGGATCTGAAGAGAATGGAGCAGCGGGGAACGACCAGGGGATCTGGTCGACGCTCAACACTCAGGTGAGGGTCCAGACAAACATTTAGTCAGACTGTTACTCATACCACCGGAACTGGAACTCTGTGCTTGCTGCTTAAGTTAGGGATGGAGCGCTTGTGAAAATGTCGGGAAGGTAGACGTAACGTTAGTATTCCCACGCCCCTCTCATATACACACTAGCTCCTATTTGATTGGTAGTTCCTGAATCTGTCACCCTGGCACAAGGTTACGTGTGTGTTTCGCAATTATGTTGATATTGCGTGTTGTAAATGTCAGCACCCTAGCACTTTAAACACTCCAATAACATGGAGAAACTGGCCCTAACAACAGAGTGGGACATACCCGTAACCTTCAGTAAAGTCGCGACCAACCCAACATACTTGTGAATGATAAGTGGCCTACTCTATTTGGGGAGATTAACGTTACTTTAACCGTTGGGAGTTATATGATGCCAGTTCTTAACCCATAGCTTATTCAGAGACACAGACAGAGACGATCGTAAACACATTACTACTAACACGCATACGCACACATACACACGCACACGACATACTATCGGTAATACGCTCACACACTGACATCTAGACAGACATACACAGTCAAATAACATACACACCGTCTTACACATATGCCCTGATACACGTAGTCAATACTTTGCATACAGACACAGGTGTGTATAAAATGTTTATATGGTGAGTGAATTAATTATTTTTATCACTTTCCCTCATGATCAGATACCGCAGACGACTTTCAGCTGCAACTACATCGGCATATGGTAAGTTTACATTTAGTTTAGTAATTTTATATCTACCTATGGTAAGTTTACAGTTAGATATGGTAGGTTTATCAATTTAATTTAGTAAGTTTACATGGCAGAATTGTGTTGCGCGGAGAGGGGGTGGGGGGGGGGGGGGGGGGCGAAGCACCATAGCGCTTGATTGTCAGTCTGGCGTAGAAATTCTCCCCCGTATGGACATCTTAAAGTTTTTGCTGCGTATTTTTTTACAAGAAGTTGCAGGACCAACCCCAGCTAATGTTTTTGTGTGTGGCTGTTGCGGTTTTGTGTAGCAAAATTTACCTTGAGTAGTTTGCAATTGGTTCTAAAGGTTCGACTCATGAAACCACTGCAAGACATTCTGCTGACAAATGGCACGCACCTGGGATCGAGCCCGGCACCCTGGCATTACTCAGCGCGGACCTAATGCCTTAGCCACAGGCGGCGACGTGCACACTACTTTTACAGTGGTCAACAGTCACTGGGTAGCTGTTGTAGTTGTTGGTTACTGTTGTTGATCCAACTGTAGCAGGTTTTCTGCCTCTTTGACTCCGTTACCCATTGTCAGCCATCGTCACATTCTAACACAACACATTGCTGGGATGTCAAATCTGGGTCAGTCGGAAAGAGAGGGCGGGGGGGTGGGGGGGGGGGGGAATGGAGTGAGGGGTCCGGGAGCCTCAGCCTTTTGTGTGCATAAGAATAATTATATTATTAATAATGATGATAATAATAATATTAATAATAATAATAATAATAATAATAATATGCTGAAAAAAAAATTAATATATTGCAAAAATTTGACATTATTTAAAAAAAAAAAAAAAGATACACAACTCTAAAGGAAAAGGGTTAGTTTTACCTTAGTCTCCGCAGACAAAGTAGGTCACATTTCATTGACAAGTTTGTTGGGCTAGTCTACTTTCCTCAAGATTACGGATGTGCCGCTCTGTTGTTTGCTTTACGGGCTGTCTTGCATTTACGTTTTTCTTCCGAGAAACAAATGCCTGTGACATAATCGCAGCTCCCTTGTCTGCCAAGCAAAGCGGTTCTGGTTAAATCTGCAGCAGAGGCTTTTTTTTTTTTTTCTTTTTTACCAGTACGACTTTAGGGCCTACATCTTTGTAAAGGTGCATTCCGACAATTTTCGAATTATTTTAAATTCCACAGGATGCAAAGTCAGACAGAATGACAAAGAACCACTACAATTTTTATGCATTAACACCCCCCCCCCCCCCCCCCCCCCCCCCCCCCCCCAAAAAAAAAAAAAAGGAACTGGGTATCCCCTATTATTTTTAGAGGTATTCCATGGACCCTATACGTTGTTACACTAATATTGGGCTGATATATTGGTTGGACGGTGAGCTGCTTTATAATAAAGCAAAAGGTATGAAGGCTCTCTCAGATCAGACAGACATTGCAAAAGAACTGACAAAGAATCTATCTACTGGATTCCTAATTCAACCAAGGGATGAGTACAGGTTCTGGAAAATATTCAACACAGAGGTAAACGTAGCTATACTTTCGATCAGGCTGTAACTGGTAATGTTAGTATGACGACTCTTCGATGGCTACAAAGGAAACAGACGGGGCACGTGTGCGAATGTCCCGACTGCAGTAATGTAAATTCTTGATTCATTAATTAATTCAATAGTCATTTTTTACACATACACAAACACACACAAATGCGCGCGCGTGCGCGCACACACGCTCACAGTTACACACTAGCACATACATACAGTGATACATCGAGATCTATTTTAGAATGGCAAGCAAAAAAAAAATCCACGACAACCTTGAAGTCTGTCCCGCGGACCCCGGGTGTTCTGCCGTCCACTGGCCTAGACTAGGTGAAGACCTTTGACATTGTGCCTCAGCAGCATCTTTTATGCTACCTTCTCTATTTACTAGCCTTACAATTTATCCATGAGACTGGGTAACAATTGAAAGGGACCATTTTGAAAACTTTTACTTTTAGAGAATAAATGCAGCGGGGAATGTCTACGGACCTTGAGTCCACCACTTGAGAGACTCGTTAGGGGATTTCAGGGTAGGGAGGGGTATAAGAGGAGTAGCTAACCAGATGACACAGGCAGGATCAGAGTGAGGACTCTGCTGAACAATAGGGAGGCAAACGGAGTTAATTTTGGCTTGCTATGAATGCTGTCTTGCTATGAATGCTGTCTTGCTATAAATGCTGTCTTGCCATGAATGCTATCATGCCATGAATGCTGTCTTGCCATGAATGCTGTCATGCCATGAATGCTATCATTCCATGAATGCTGTCTTGCTATGAATGCTATCATGCCATGAATGCTATCATGCCATGAATGCTGCCTTGCCATTAATGCTGTCATGCCATGAATGCTATCATGCCATTAATGCTGTCATGCCATGAATGCTATCATGCCATTAATGCTATCATGCCATGAATGCTATCATGCCATGAATGCTGTCTTGCCATTAATGCTGTCTTGCCATGAATGCTGTCTTGCCATGAATGTTGTCTTGCCATGAATGCTGTCTTGTCGAATCTTTACCCAGACGACCCCCAGCAGTACATTAACAAATTGCTTCTTAGAATTATATCAACCAACTCCCCCTCCCCCCCCCCCTCCTTTGCCCATTTCTGAAGTATCAATCAAATGTAATTCACATTTGTGTATTTTTAATCAGCCCCACCACAGGAGAAAGACACTATTGAGCACCCAGGGACCAACAAATATTTTGCTTCGTAAGTATCGCTTCAGTGTTCTGTTAAAATCGATTACATTTATGTCGGGGAAGCATACGATCCGGACACTTATCTGGCACTCAATTTACGAAAGTAGGTGGATCAAAAAATTATTCTCCGTGCAAAAAAACTGAAACCCAGGACCGGTATATTGGCAGATGAGTGAATTAATTGTTGTATTGGCATAATCTGTAACGGTGTGAACATTTATACACAGTATAATGTAATAGTAGATGATAGGGCACCACAGCACTGAGCCTATTTAGTTAGACAAAAGGTAAGAAGCAGAACTAGAGGTAGACCATGCAAGACATGTATAGAGGGAATATCCACGGTTGTAAATATCAGCATCTACGTCATGCAAAGAGCATGGTATAAATTACTCGCTATGCAACTCCAGAAATTATCTCTTTTGTTCTGCGGGAACAAAAATGCTCCCGTGAAGAGAAAGATAAAGTCTATATCGAACCGACGACCTTCAGAGCATCAGCAAACGGTGTAACCACTGAGCCACAGATACCCCTATATTTAATATTTATAAAAAACATTCTAGCAAAACACTTTCTACTGTTTACTAGGCAAAGATTGATGATCAGGTCTTTCTTATATAGGATTGTGCTATCGTATAACAGTAGTCGAGCTGTTGGCACGCCTATGCCATCTTAGAAGTAAAGACAGGAGATAGTATAACCAGCTTCTCGTGGGAACAATCAACAGAGGTACATTGGAGTGGCTGCTGCATTGGAGGATTGAGCACGTATGGGGATGTCCAGTGTGCAAAGACGTCCATTGTGATAACATAACATAACAGTAGTTGGTACTACCTGTTTTATGTTAAAATCAAATGTTGGGAAATCTTTTAAACCCAAACCTGGACTAAAAAACAGTAACCCTGCATACCTGTCCTATTGACCGGAATGTCAGTGGATGGTTTGTTTGCATTCGGTTCTAACATTGATATATCCACAGGGAAAATCCACTGTTTGGTAGAGAAATTAAAGCTTTTGATCACCCGGATGTTGATGATAATGATGATGGTGATGTTTCAAGGTAAGCTGTTTTTTTTTTTTCTTTTTCAAGTTGAATAATTTGTTATAGACATTGTTTGTTCAAAGAAATTCTTTTACAAATGCAACTACATAACATAGGGAGAAACAAACTCAGTCTTTGAACATTCCAGATTTAATGACAAAGCACGTAATAATTTGGTGAAAGATAAAGACTTTATAATATTACCAGCAGTACCCACCACGAAATTGGGGGGGGGGGGGGGGGGGGGAGAACATATTCACCGGTTTTAGATAAGAAAATCCCCTATCTGAAAGGATAAGTAAAGTAAAGTAAAGTTCCCTTTACACGCCCTTAGGCGCATCGGGCTATGGAAAGAGCACCCATATTTTTGCAGACCAATCGGCACTCGGTGGGTAATGTGGTCAGCATTACGGCGGCCGTCTTTACTTTCCCAGGACAGCCCATCCTGGTACCCAATTGAGGCTGGGTCGACCTGCGACGTCCAATGCCACAATACAAAAACACGCAGCCCGCAGTGGGTTTCGATCGCGGTACGTTGGATTATGAGTCAGACTCACAACGCCTTAGCCACGGGCGCCGCTATCTGAAAGGATAACTTAGGTTAATTAATCAAAGAAGAAATTGTTCCAGGAAATCATTAATTCAGTGTAAAAAAAAAAAAAAAAGGTCACTGACATCATAAAGAGGCAGAATTAAATGATGACTAATGCTAACATTAAAAAATCAGACCCAACAATCTACCTCCTCCTCCTTCTTCTTCTTCACTTTTTCTTCTTCTCATGCTCCTCCTTTTTCATTATTTAAACATAACATACTTTACTGATATAATACAACTGCTGTGTGAATAATGGGTGTTTGGAAGGGCCGAATGTAAGACGGACCTGCCTGCCCAATTTGTGACCTTTTGAAAATAAAGTTTGTTCGTTCGTTTTACTTCCCGAATGCCCACTTAAGTGTCCATAGAAGCAGCGGCGAGTGGCCCATTTAACGGTTGTAATGACGCTTACACTTTTCATTGAATGAAGAATGCCTTATTGTACTACTTGTTATACTATTTACTACAGGTTTTCCAACATGGCCACATGTTGTTGTGTTTATGCTTATGAGCCATGATTTCGCTTTTTATCCGGCGTATTTCACTTGCACCATACTGAAATTTCGACTCAAAAGCAGCTCAGAAATGTTTGACAGTGCAAGATATTTGATTCAATGTGTTTTCGATGTGTATGCTGCCGATCGACGTCATGGCGGCCTTAGCAACAACATTGACGACCTCTGCGGCAAGCCGCATGTGAAAACGTCGGTCCAGGATTTTAACTTACGCAACGGAGTGCGTGCGTTTGAGCTGACATCTTCTTCAATTGCTCCACAGATAAATAATAATGATGTACACATTAAAAGGAGGAAGCGCGGAAAACACCCATCGCGCCGCAAAAATAAACAGAAAGTAAAGCGTTCTAGGGCCAAAAAATCACTACTCAAATAGGAAAGGATAGGTCGAAAGAATGTTCGAATTATTTACTGGAATTGTGCCAGTGTCAAACAAATATGACATTTCCGGGACAAATTAGTATATGGTGCTGACGTCGTTGCTCTGCAAGAAACACTCCTAGGTGACAATAGACTGAAACTCACAGGATTTCATACGTTTCAGAACAAGCTACACCGGGGACAGGCTTTTCTAGTCGGAGATAATCTCGAAACCCATGAAGTTGACATGTCTAAATGGCAAGATACCAGCCTCTAGTTACAAGCTGATGCAATTCGTGAGACGCGGTCTTTCACGCTGGTGAATGTCTCTGCGTTAAGTAAGCAGAGAAAAGTGGATGTGCCTTCAAGAAATAATGCAAACAGAAGAGAATGTAGTTTTCTGCGGCGATTTCAACGCTAAAGTTTACCTTTGGGACAATAGTTCAACAAACAGACAAGGAGAGGATTTGGAGGATGCCATGGTGGAAATGGACCTATTCTGTTTAAACAAAGGAAGAATCACCAGGATGGCATATCAATCAGAAGAAGAAGTGTGCTTGACTTGGCTTTAGTTTCACCTAGTCCACACTGTAGTTGGTATGTACTAGGTAATCATGGCAGCGACCACTGTCCCTGTGTTATTCTCTTAAAAAAGGGTGTCAGCACACATCATAGGATCAATTCAAACCCTTTTAAATACACTCAGAAAAAAGATGTCGTAAGCAAGCTTAGGAAAATCAAAAGCCAACACCATGTAGGCCGAAGAAAAAGCTGCAACAACCATTGTGGTTCAATGATAGGGTTAAGTCAGCGTGGGTACTTAAAAGACATGCTATAAAGATCTGGCAGAAAGCAATTAAATCCACTGACTCTACTCCAGACCTACTGCGGGAATGTAAGCACACCATGCAGACCACAACAGCAGCCTTCAAAGCAGTTGCCCAGCAAGCTAAGGACACAACCTGTGAAATATTTTGCCATGAAGTGTGCAAGGAAAGATATCCTGCAAAATTCTGGTCAGTACACTAGGCTATAGCAGGTGCTCCCGGACGCCGAGGCATCAGAGACTTCTGTAATGAAGACCAGACATGGAACAGGTCTGATAAAGAGAAAGGAAGAGCACTCCTTGACAGATACCTCAAGCAAATCTGCACACAAGACACTGCCACCCGTCAGACGACCATGGATATGCTCGTTACAACATGTGCCGGTACAGGCATTAAAGATGATCAGTTAATTACGGTGGCTGAAATTAGGAACATCATCAAAACATCAAAGAAGTCTTCTCCTGGCCCTAATGGCATTCATTATGAAGACATTGCCAAGCTGCTCACAATGTCCATGGAGGTCCTATCTAAAGCCTACAATGACAGCATCTGTAATGGTACCATCTCAGAAATCTGGCTGCATAGCTATTTGATTCCGCTAGAAAAACCGAGAAAAGACGCCACACAAATAAATGGCTATACAATCATTACGATGCAGAACACATTAGGCACAACATTGGAAAAGATAATAGCGAGAAGACTGGCAAGCCATGTTGAAATACATCAGCTGCTACCCCCCACACTTGGAGGATGTAGACAAAATACGGAGACATGGCGTAATGCTGCCGTCTTTGCACATGAAACATTTGAAGGTTTTCAAGCTAGATTTGAAACATGTGCAGTCGCCATAGATCTGGAGGATGTATACAACAAAGTTCCCTTCCACCAACTAATGTGTCAGTTAACTGAACTCAACATCACCCCCCCCCCCCCCCACCACCACATCTCATTCGATGGGTATCTGCCGCACTTTTCCAGAGGAAGGTCGTGCTTCGATGTGGCAGTTGGTCTTCTGAGCCGATAACAATGCACCCTGGTTTACCACAGGGTTCTCCATTGTCTCCTATCCTCTTCAACATTCACACAGTCAAGATCACAGGAGAATAACTGAGTGGCAGAGGAAAAACTCTATCATTTGCAGATTATATCCTCGTGCACCGACAGGGCAGGAACAGAGATGACATTGTTTCGGAAATACAACAGGATCTAGATCGCATATCATCCTGGTGCAACACCTCAGGGGCAACAATTAATCTATCAAAAGCGACAGTCACCTGGTTCTCATTAAATAATCACCTTTCTAAAACACCAATGCCGATAGTAAAACTCTGTGGTGCTAACTTGGAGCAATTTGATTACATGAAATACCTGGGTACAACATTTGACAAATGCTTAGCATTTAAAAAACACGTAGAGCACATTATAACCAAAGCCAAGAAAGGTCTCTCGGCAATAAAAGTTAGGGGAGCTGCAAAATTTGAGCAACGGCTACTTGTAATGTTGTATCGTGCATTAGTTCTCTCAACCATTAAATATGCCTTGGCAATCATGACACTCAGGACCACACAGATGAACAGACAGGACAAAAATTGAAAACGAGGCAATGCTCATTATTCTTGGATGCACTAGACACCTCCTGTAAATCCATGCGATACCTCTTGGATTTCCCCACAATGGAAAACAGAATCAAGCTATCCAGGGCTGTTGCTTTTCTCAAAGTAAAATCAGACCATGGACACCCACTTTGTGAGGAATTATTCAATCAAAAAAAAAAAAAAAATAAATAAAAAAGAGTAGACTCAAACAAGGCGAATCCTGGATGGGTCGGGCTGAGGATGCCATGGAACATGTTTGCCGCCTCACTGACATTAATTTTGGAAGTGAATGGATAATTATGCCTTCCTCCCCAAACATTAATATTACAGTCCATATCACACTTGATGAAAGCTGTAGAGAGCAGATTTCTGGCATTGTTGACACTTTAGTCAGAACACTGATTGACGAAAACACAGATGAAGGTGATGATATAGTTTACACAGATAGGCCAGTAATAAGGGGCAAGCGAAGTGCATGGGCCTTCACAGTAAGCTCAAGGGGGAAAACCATTAAGGAGAGGAATGGCGCCTTTGCTGTTACAGCTAGTAGCCTTACAATGGAAACTATGGCTGTAACAAAGGTTTTAGCATTTAGCATGGCTTGGTACTCAAAAGTTCACACACGTCTGCTTTCTTGGTGACTCGATGAATATGCTTAAAAAAATCCAAACTTGATTAATCAGGCAAGAATGGATTGAAACACTAAGCACTTCACAAATATCTGCCCTAACCTTCATCTTTGTGCCAGGTCATGCGGGTGTTCAAGGGAACGAGCGTGCAGACTATCTTGCTGACACTGCAGTTGCTATGACTGGCCCAGTACTGGAGAGAAGTGATGTTACCAATGCTATGCGCTGCACTTACCGTACCGAGGAGCACGTCAAAGGACATGACTCCATATCCCTGTCTAGACTGATGGACATGGGGGTGCAGCCTGGAGCTGCAAGAAATGAACTTTTCACTAAGAGGACAAGACGTCTCATTACCCAACCCAGATCAGGCATCAGAGGTTTTACACTTGTGGAGCTTTTGAGGAGGAGATCGGAGCACCTATGAATCTGTCTGGAGTGTTGTGATGATAATCCTTTCTAATCACTAATCACTATTTAACAAACACGCCACTCATTGCGAAACGAACGCTGGTTTTATGCTTACACCACTCACACAGAAACTGTAGCGTGTGAAATCTACCTGCTACTATTTCTACAATGGTAGCTGCACACGTTTACTCAGCCAACAGCGAAGGAAAATATTAAGTGATACCTCAACAGTGTAACCGTGAGGTGCTGACATTTACACAAGCGAATCTATCATGCCTTGCCAATGCAAATAAGTTATACGGGGGACACCAGTAACGAGTGCACCAGCTTGGTGTAAGTATAGGACACCTTTTACTACTTGAGGCGTATTGGGCATATAGGGCTAGGCTTATATTTTATACACCTTTCGGCACTCGAGGGGCTATGTGATCAACATCACACCGGTCGTCTTTACTTCCCAGGACGTTACATGCTACCCATTTAAGGATGGGTCGACCTGGAAGCCAAGGTCATTTAACAAAAACAAAAACAAAAAGTTCATCGCCGTCCCAGTATGTTGAAATCGTCATATAATGATGATGGTGTCTGTACTAATCAAAGTATTTTATTTCCAATCAGCCATAACTCTCTGGACCTGAATGGAGTAGACCCAGCTGTTCCATACAAAAGTTCACAGCCTGCAGAAGCTGACGAAGAACAAGAGATGTCCATGCAGATTGGAGACGGTGTTCTTCCTGTAGCTCCCTTTAATCGTAGCTCTAACCTCGACAACGTGTTGCAAGCCTACACCAATCAAGCATACACACATGATAATGATGATATTGATGGTCATTACAGTCATCTAGACACGAAGAACATGGCGCCAATTTCTAAGGGAGAGGACTCAAAGCAAGGGCAACAATTCAGTGATAACGACCTCTACGATGAGATTTACAAGTCTCGTGTATCTGACTTTCATTTAGAATATTCAGAGATCTAAGTGAGCATATAACGCGTCTCTGCTGGTTCACCGTTAAAATACCTTAAAACATAAGCTTAACTCTCTTAGTCCCAAGCATTCGTTACCATCCATCTCAAGGGGTTAATCTTTAAACTAATAAATATTTAGATCTGATAGCGTTTAATAGTGACTGTTTAACTAGTACTACATTAAAAAAAAAATTAAAAGAATTCCTGTCCTTAATAGGATGGAATTTTTCGTTATTTGAAGCCCTAAACTGGCTCTTGCCAGTGGCCGCAATATAGCCTAAAGGCTGAGCGCGGTTTCTGGGACCTCTCGACGGTGATCCTCACCCACATGGTAGCACTTGTGTCATCGGGTGATTATCGCTTGTGTGATGTCCTGGTGGGGTAGAAAGTCAGTCAGTTCCATTAAAAATATCAATTTTGGACTGCGAAATACATTGCTAGTATCGTTTTGTTGTTGTCGCCCCAAGCGCACCATGATTGGCAGCTCATGTATGCCTCGCTGACCTTTCAAGCAAGCAAATATACGCTAAATATTTCAGCCATTTTAAAAGACATAACACTATATATATATATATATATATATATATATATATATATATATATATATATATATATATATATATATATATATATATATATATATATATATATATATAAAACCATACTGAAGTTGTAAGCTGGCAGCAAAAAGCAGGCAGCGATACAAGTGGACAGCTAAAATCAGAAAGTCTAAGATAATGTACATAGAAGGAGACGACCGACTTTATTAAAGCTCTATTGTAGCCAGCTTTTATTGTAACAAAGATTAAACGCCAAACTGGTTTAGGCAACAGTTGAAGTCGAGAGGATCGATTTCATTGCACAATGTGTTTTTCCATATGGCTCGGTCTCTCTCCTGTCGATTTGCCAAGAGCTTCGCACAAAGCACGAGCTCAGTAGCCCAAGCGACGATCCCAATAGAATCTCCCTAAATATTGAAGCCGTGAAACGAACCGGTAACTTCCAAAGCGCGAGGCAAACGGCTTGACCACTTGGCCACGAAGAACCCTAAAATAGAAAACAAAGGATAGTCAATGCTGCTCAGATCTTCTCTCATAATATAATCCTGAAATATTGATTGTCATGATCTGATTTAGGTGGTCGTGTGATTTTTTTTTTCTCAATTATTTTACTTTTTGTTGTTGTTGTTTGTTTTCGTTTTTAAATGTTGAACCATAAAAGAAGACAGAAAGAGTTCAGAAATATGTTCCATGCACCGAAAAATCGATGAAATCATAGTGCATTGATTGGCACTAAATGAATTAATCTTGCTCAAAGACGACAACAGCAAATACCTCTGCTGATTACTTACTTGTGATTTTATTACTTCACTCTTCTAAGTAATTTTTGTTCTTTTGTTTGATGATAAAGAAACATGTTGAAAGATTCACATAATGTATGTGTCTTGCGTCTCAACGGGCTTTCATTTTCGTTCGTTTTGCTTATTTTCAGTATGTGCTTTCAGTGATTGCTTGTATACTGTTTAAAATCAAAATGCAGCGACTAAGCGAAGATTAAATACTTGCTACTGACGATTGTCTTATGACTTTTACACCAACCAAAAAATTACATTTTGAGCAGTGATAAATGTTACTATACTCCACTCATTGGCTGAGGACTCAGATCATTTCTATCCCACACAATGTGCCACACATTGTCCAATGACTCAAATTTTCCCATCCCACACAACACACCACTCACTGACCAGTGACTCAAATTCTTCCCATCCCACACAACATGCTACATACTGACAAGTGACTTAAATTCTTTCCATCCCACACAACATGCTACATACTGACAAGTGACTTAAATTCTTCCCATCCCACACAACATGCTACATACTGACAAGTGACTTAAATTCTTCCCAACCCACACAACATGCTACATACTGACAAGTGACTTAAATTCTTCCCATCCCACACAACATGCTACATACTGACAAGTGACTTAAATTCTTTCCATCCCACACAACATGACACACCTTAACCAATGACTCAAATCTTCCCATCCCACACAACATCCATACAATGACGAATGTCTCGGATTCTTTATATCCCACACATGTCCCAAACTGACTAAGGTCTGAGATTCTTTCTATCCCACACAACACACCACACACTATTCAATGTTTCGGATTCTTTATATCCCACACAACACACCACATATTGACAAATGACTCATATTCTTGCTATCTCACACAGCTGCCCACAAACAAAACATCTCTTCACTGACTAATGAGTCAAATTCTCACTATCTCCAACGACTTACCAAAAGTTGACCAATGACTCATTTTGTTTTACTATTCTACACCACTCACCCCGTAATTTCTAAAGCTAATTCCCTACCACACATGTAACCACACATGATCTCTTTTTCTTCCAGCATTTCCATTTGATGTTCTCGCCATGCGAGGCCACACAGCTTCCAGCATAATATCGCCTAGTTAATTCCTCTACCGCTGAATTTTCCACCCGGCACGATAATTCAGCCAATGCCCAAATTCTCATTAAATGAATCAAAAATGGGTGGGAAAAGGGAAAGGGGGTGGGATGAGAAAGCGGAAAGAAAAGAAATGTGTACATGTATTCCTTGGCCGTTCAGATCGGCTGGACAAGACCACAAACCTGATCCATGTTTGCCCTAATCGGGTGAGATGGCCAGTTTTGACTGCCCTCTGATGGACACAGCACATGGTGCTCACTAAATAACACTGACTGTTCACCTGCACTTTCTTCGTGGAGCGTGTGCTGGCTGTGTTGCTTTCAGGTTACTGAATGCGTTTCACAATTTCACTAGCCTCCACTACTAGGCTTCCATTTTCGCGGCTGATGATTTATTAAACAGAAACAAAACCTGCTCGCGTCATTATCAGACAGTAGTCACACCTTCGCACAGTATTATATATTAGCCATGTTGGGAAAATGTATATTGGAAAAATGTTTGCAAAAATATTGGAATTTAGAGCTCGGCCAATACTAGAGCACCAGTTAAATAAGAGACAGTTCGGTTTCAGCAAGGGAATGAGCTGTACAGATGAAAAATTTTCTTAAATAGCAGTCTATTGAATATGATTAAAGTCAACATTTTATGTTTATAGATCAAGAGAAGGCACTTGATTGAGTCAGTAGATGGAAACTATGGGGAATTCTAGAAGATTATGGTATTCAAGATCAGCAATTGGGTAAAATCATTTCTCTTTACCAAGATAGTCAGTGCACAGGAAGAACAATAATAACAATAAAAAAAATGACAAACTGGTTTTCCATCTCATCAGGTGTCAGACAGGGATAAGACCTATCACCATTGCTATTCATTACTTAGATAAATAGAATTGAACATGAATCAAATAAAGACACCGAGGAAATCGTTGAGCTTATGTTTAATTTTTTTTAAAGACGATCAGTCTCTAATACACCACCAAGAACAGAATTTACAACACAATGTTGACTCCTTACATCAAACCTGCACAAAGTAGGACATGAGAATAAACATCGCAAAACTGGGGTAATGAGAATAGGCAGAAAACATAATATCATGAACGTTCATGTTAACGATACTACAGTCAAACAAGTACGAGAATTCAAATATATATGAAGCATATGTACAGAGGATGGCAGAAACGATAGAGAGATGGAAGCCAGAGTACAGAAGACAAATGCTTTCACCTACCCCACTGCTTAGACACCCAAATGTCTCCCTTTCAGCAAAACAGCAAATGATTAATAGCACCTTTATCCCTACTTTATGTTGTCAGTGCCAAACATGGACAACGAATAGGGCACTAGAATAGAAAATAACAACATATAAAATGCATTTTTCCGCAAGGGCACTAACAACACAAGAAGAGACAGGGTTATGAATACCAGCATTAGAGTGAAAGTTGAAATGTGTCCATGTCTGGATTATGTTGCCAGACAAATAGTGACACGATTAGGCTATCTAGTGAGAACAAAGCCAGGCCAAACTGCATATTAGACTTGACAGCAGAACATCTCGGAACAAGACTTAGAAAGATATGGATAAATAGTGTAGCCGAAGCCTGCAAAAAAAAAAAAAAACAAAAAAAAAAAAAAAACAGTTGAACAAATACAACTCAAAACACCAGAGTAGCGCAAGACAAATACAGAAAACCACGGCACTGGGCTAGCATCTAGAAACCATGAGCTGTTAACCCTTTGGCTCGGTACTAAGGATATCGCAACCTTTCGGCTTTGATTCCATGATACATACCGTGAATCTGGGAGAAATGTGGCTTTTCTGCTTACCCACGGGCCACAAGGAGTTCGTCACCCGGTCGCCGCGTGACAAAAGAAGAAGAAGTCGCACAATATTAGGCCTCGTCAGATAATATTCTCAAAATCACCAGCAGGATCACGGTAGCCAACCTTCATGGTAGAGACTGAACACTTTTTTTTTCCAGAGCCTTTTCCAGGCAATCGTTGACACTGATTCTGAGTGTACCTGGGCAGATTACTAAACACGGATTATGAAAGTTCATTTTAGTTCTAGTGTTGCTTGTCCATCACGAATGATGAAGACTACTTTCATCTAAAGTAGTAATGATCAATGATTATGAGTACGAAGGTAGCTGATTATTCCAATATGAGCCTGGAAAGCACTTAAGCAGTTCGGTCAACAAATGGAACCCAAAGTAAGTGTGGGATTAGCAGTACGATTCTTTCTAATCTGCCTCCGTTTCTCTGTCTGTGCAACCTCCGCTACCTGGCAGGCCGATGCACCATGCCTGAGGGACGTACCCCATCCAGAACGGTCTTGCGCAGCAGCCTCCCACGTCGCTGTGTTGATGCCCAAAGCATTGAGAGCAGTCCCTTATAGTGCTTTTTTTGTGTGTCCTTCCTGTGACCTCTTCCCTTGCTCGAGCTCCCCACAAAATACTCTCTTTTGGAGGCAATAGTCTGGCATGCAGGTTAGATGACCAGCCCAACGCAGCGGATAATCCTTCAGTATCGT